AACGCAAACATCCAAATGAAGCACAATTGCCTTTCGTCCGTTGGCATATATATGACTGTAACTGTGACTGCTTCCATACCCGTATTTTGGTCTGCATCTGTAACTATAACTATAAATGTATCTACATATTTTACTGTAAGTGTATACATATCGTATATGTACCATCATATGCATTTGCGCATATATGTTTGAATCCGCAGTTGAATGTGTTTATCAGTTCATTCATTCAATATGTCGCTCCAGTTGCTTTGTAGTGTTTCACAGGAAGTACTCTGAGAACGCTCATGGAAAATATTTTTCAGAATTATCATGGTTGACTACGATGCCGGGTACTTCAGACATTACGGGACCAAACAACGGGTCAACGGACATGCCACAGGAACTCCGCCTAATGCTCCATACACTGCAGGAGTCTATGGAGCTGAAGCTTACTCTCAGTCCAGTCAATACAGTCAACATGCCTGTGTACAGCATCCACAACACTGGAGGCCACTATACATCAACATATAGTGAGGCAGTAAACGAAGTGAGTGTTGATAATAGATTACCATGTTGACGAGAAGTGTTAATGTAATTCTAATTTCATCTGCATGAGGTTTGATGGTGTGATGGCCTGATGGCTTGACTTTTATTACCGTCTTCGACATGCTTGTGGTATCGACACAGAGGTCCATCCATGGTACGACCCAGAATATGCAGACGGTGTCATGGAAAATGATAATCATAAAACTCTTTGGAATAGACCCGCATACATCATCAGACGTAAGCAGGACCAAAACCTGCAAATATAATGAAATCATCTATTTCTTTGAATTATCTGTCCTGTTTAACTAATGTGATTGACAAGATGCAGGAAAAACAAAGCATATATGAGGACCTCGCTAATTGTCCGACTCCCGATTGTTCTCGGTGTCTTCAGTTTGGTACCTCCCAATCTGTTGACTGACATTGGGAGAGTACCCAGGTTTTCTGCCAGGAATACAGCCCTTCTGACAGTCTGGATAATACAGAAGGCTGCAGTGTTTGGGAGTCTTCAAATTTTCAAAAATGTTCTCGGTGGGTTAGACTAGGCAGCGCTTCCTGGGAAAAGTCCCATTCGCTGTCTGGGCTGTGTGTAGAGGGGCAAGGGCCCTGAACTGATGATGAGCCTAACCAGCCAGACTATGCTATGATCACCCAAACCCTGTTTGCTGCATTTTTTATTTTAATATGTACATAGTAATAGCTATCGTCCGTCTTCATGTTTGACCTTAGGGGTGGACAACAATTCGCGGTAATCGCTATGGCGTCGCTGCAGGCTAAACATGTGTGAACTGTGAATTTGCTTTGGGGTATTCTGGTACCAGTCATTTGTCAATGAGAATCTAAAGAGAAAGGTTATGCATATTAAAGTTTCAGGTTCTGTCTTATGTTAGCTGTTAAATTGTATAGTGAGTGAAAATAATGTTGCAGTATCTGTTGTTAATCGAGCCCGTCAATGAAGAGGTGAGGTGAAATGGGGTTTAACGTCGCGTTCAAGATTATGACACTAAGATAGCGACGTGCATGCATTTGGATATCTATAAATAGATTGTCAACAGTTGCGATTTTGCCTATGTTTTATATCTGATACACGTATTTAAATCAATATTGTGAAATGCGTATAATTATCCTTTTATTTTAAATGAATATTAGTTAAAGAAATCTATATAAGAACAAAGCAGTAAATTATTTTCCCTCTCTGCTTCATTGTTCATTAACAGTTGTAATAATGAATGAATCATAACATAATCTATTATGTTTTATTTGGGTATCTGGAACATATGATAGGGCTTCATCACACCATGTCATCAATTGCAAGGAGGTATCTAGTCCTGCGCTGAGGCCGATATTCAGCCCTAAATCTGCAGCTAATGTCAGTAATTTTTTCCACTTCACGTTCACAACGTTTTAACATTTGCATGTTTATGCTAAAAAACCCTCTGAATTTAAGAAAATAATATAAGTTACAAAATTCACATTTTGAGCAAATCGTATTTGGTTTCAATTTGCCTGCCAATGGCAATTAGTTTCGAATCATGTATACTAATCCCTGGTCACACTTCAAGAATATAGCTTTTTATGAGCTGCCAGTATTTAAGTCTTGGGGCGGTCGGGTAGCCAAGTGGTTAAAGCGTTCGCTCGTCACGCCGAAGACCCGAGTTCGATTCCCGACATGGGTACACTGTGTGAAGCCCATTTCTGGTGTCTCCCGCAGTGATATTGCTGGAATATTGCTAAATGCGGCGTAAAGCCATGCTCACACACTCACCATCACCAAAATGGCAGAAATTGATACCTTTCAAATTTAAAACCAGCATCTGCAGTAGCCATAGCGAAACCATCGGAACCATCTTTCCGAAAAAAACGAAACCTGTGATGCCAAAATTATCTGAAAAGGGGGACTTCAGTCCATCCAGTCATATTATTTAAGACTTAAAAGAATTCTCATTATTATTTACTGTTAACTACGAAACCTGTTAATTAGGTACGAAGAATATCTATCAAGATCAAGTTTTTATAAATATAATTACATGCAGTTATTATGACCGTTAATGATTAAAAACAATAATTATTGTATTGCAAGAGTCCACATGCCTATAGGACTTAACATTAAATAATATCTATTTGATTTTACACATCAGGGGAAAGCATGTCACAACATACATCAGGGGAAAATATATGACAAGTAATACTTGACACCTGATATTCATTACCATAGTTATTAAAAAAACAACATTTCCATGTATGGTTCATAAATCCTAGTGTGAAAAACGTTTTCCTTAAATAAACAAAACTCAGCGGATTCAGACCGGTTCTTTTTCTTGGACACTAACTGATTGACATCCAAAACGATTTTGTAATGTCCTATCGAAACTAAGGAAAAAGCCCGTAAGCCATTGTTTGTCCACCAAAATCAAAATTGTTAAACATTCTTGATAAACACTAGATCTAGCTAAATCATCCAATGATGACAACGCCCCCAAAATCTTGCTAATGTTTCTCTGTATAGATTTACATCAATTCTGGATAAAAGGCATTTCATTATTAATCACAATTATATATGAAACTGATTAGATTATGTTAGAGAGTTACTCAGGCGGCCAGGTTAATGTCTGACCAAAGTATGACAAAGAGATACTGTCTCTGGTTTTACATATACTTTGTGCCTTCAAACATCTGTTTTGCTTTAGGACACTGTGTAACCACTTTCAATCTTATCCTTTTAACAGATATAATATTTAAAAAGATATGTCATATAGCAACAGTCAACAGCTAGATTTTAAACGAAGTGTAACATGTTGTTACATGAATTATTAATTGTTTATGTGCCTAGTCCTGCAGTGAAATCTTACTTTGATGTTGCATCAATCAAGTAACTGAATAATAAGTGATTACTTGATTGAATGACACTTTATACCATTACGTTTTCATGTTTCTATAATTAATCTGTTTGTTTAAACAATATATTGCTCTAATTTCTAGTAAAACAATAAACATTACCTTGAATGTGTTTTCAGTAGTTGATTTATTTCATTAAATTATTTGTCAATAAGACCCCATTACCAGTGAATAGGTATGTTGTGAAAATGTCTAAATAATTTTCTCATAACAAAGAATTTAGTCTTTATTAATCTTTCAAAATATTTCGGCAATTTACTGTTCTTCTCACGTGCTTCCATTCACAGAAATATGATTTGGGAATTCATTATTGGGTTCTACCTCTTTATGGAAATGACGCATGCATGCGCCAGTTTTGATTGACATGTTTGGTCGGTCCATTGGAAAGTCCCAGTCATTCATCTAGTCTTAAGTGTTGTGGGAAGTCGTTTTGTCACTATGCATCTTCATGCATAAATCTAAAGATGAAACAAATGAGGCGGTTAAATTTCTTGCTCTTATTTCTACTTCAGATGGGTTAATTAGTAGAAGAGAATTGCCTAATAGTATCTTACTTGATTTGAACGATATCAGATCATCGGTATATCTTTCTTGCCAAATTCCAATTTGATTTTCCAATCCAAAGAAATTGCGATTTATATGCATGAAAATCAGATAAAAAGAGGGGAGCACGAATATGCACACTAATTGTATAGTTATAGTCCCATGGTGCCTTTGTTATCCAGATCTACTTTTCCTGAGGTTCCAGTCACAGACTGTTCCTGTGTTTTCTACTATTCCAGCAAGGAATACCTGCGGTTTTCTTTCAAGATACCTAAACCATTTTTCAAAGATACATAAAACATCAACTTAGTCAACTTGGTCACTCATGCACGAAATGCATGTTGAACAATTATGGTTAGGACCTTGAAGATGCGTGCTCTTAATTAGAGATTGGTCCAGCTTCAGCTGTCTCGGCCTGCCGAAAGAAGATGAGAGTTCTCTATTATGTACGATGCCGTCTTAAATGTTTAAACGTACTGTTTCTTAAACCAAAATAAACTGTGTCAGGGACGTATATATGATCTATCTCAATCATTCCTTCATACGTAATTCAGTCTTGGCGACTGCGTTATGCTCAGCAACTGTAAAATTCATGATTGTTTTGGCCTTCTGTTTCCTAGTGGGTAAGGGCATATCAGCACGAGGATGTAATTATTTTTCATAAACTAGATGCTATAGCGTTATTTCTTACCTCATTATTCTTATGTCTACTACTTTAAATAAATAACGACAAGTTGAAGACAATGCAATACCAAAATGCAACTCAAAATGCAAAACGCAAAATACACTCTATTCAATATTTAATATTTATATTCTTCCACGCATACACTCTGGAGTATAACAAGTACATGGGAATATTAACCATACTAAAATTGATTCGATTGTTTCCGTATATACTCGTTTTCATTGTAACATTCAACTCGCGAATACGATGGGCTTGTTTGTAGTACCGTTTTCTTTTAACAGTTTTCTGAACATCAATATGTGCATGAAGGACGCTTTTCTCACTGTTTGCTCATTCGTCTTTTCAGAACTGTGGGTTATACAGAAATATGAAATACCATGGAGCTTTTGTGTGCAGACAAGGTGCGAATGGCCAGTTTGACATTGTAAGTATTCAAGCAACCTTATTTTATTGTATTGTCAATCCTATGAAATTCATTTTGATAAGGATCGTTCTCAGAAATGGAAACATCTTCTTGATATAGCCTTAAGGTCAAACTGTTGTTTAAGGTTTAAGACAAGTATTAATTCACCAACCCTGATTATGACTCTATGATTCAGTGATACTAGAGCTTGACAATATACTAGTATTCCTATATGTTATAGCTTGTATTAACTTAAAGTGTTCAAAAGTGTTCGTAAAATTGGTAATTATGACCGTGATTCAGTGAAACTTGGGCTGGACAATGTATTCATATTTGTTATAGCTTGTCTTATATTTACTATATAAGTGTTCCAATATCAAATCACCGAAAGGTCTATGGTTGAATCCCCAGATTAACTGCTCATTTTAATATTTTGGTAAATCCCAAAACAAAATTACCATACACCGTTGTGTCATTACATGATGAAATATTTATCGCTCCTGTTGTAAATAAATCTCGAAATAGTGTCTTACAAAAAAAGTAATGTATATGGCACTTTAACAACTATTATATAACATGTTGCATTGCGTGGTAGTTTTAGTAATACTCATCAATTTTGTTTCGATGACTTCACAGATGGGCACCTTGCCTTGTGATGTAAACGAAGATACAACGTAAATTTTACAAGTAACATGTAACGGATATATCAATTTCTTCTCTTTCAATGACTTCACAGATGGGCACGATGCTAGTTCGTGGACATCAGTACCGCTTGTGGCCAGCAGATACGAACAGTGCCGGCAAAGCACATATCCACGTTATGAGAAGCATAGAGGAACCTGAAGGACGCGCAATGGATTACCTTATCAGAAATACTTCTAGGATACTCAGTGGTAATAGTTGCACATATAACGATCGGAGAAACTGTATGCGTGTTCTACTTCTTAACGTATATTTTATTTAGAATGGTTAGGTCTCGCACTGTTCTAGAGATTATTTAAGCAACATCGGTTTTGCGACCATATCTGTATAACAACAAGGTATCATACGTTATGGTGGAAAATTAAATGTCTTGTTTAAGATGAACACAGAGAATGATGCAAATGTTAAATATTGTAATTGCAGTGAAAACACAGTTGTGATGGTATTCTAACTAAGCAAAATTGATAACCGCGTAAACTAAGTTCCATGCATGAACGACCATTACTCCCTCACAAAGATAATCACAATCCTGAAAATCAGTAGCGACTGTAACCGCCCTCATTCCTTCAGTGAGTCTTCTGATACGATCAAGAGGTAACTGCTGCCTCTTCCCGATGCAATGCCACCTCTAGGGCTGCCACATTCTGTACTGGTTGATCCATTGCCTGAAGCCGACGTCCAAGAATGTCCCAAACATGTTCCAGTGGATTCAAATTTGGACAGATAGCGGGTCAAGGCAAAGTGTGAATAGCGTCTCATAGTATAAATACAGTCACAACACAAGAACGATGGGGTCTAGCGTTGTCGTCCGTAACCACAGGTCGAGTGACAACGTGCCCTGGATGTAACGATCACCGATGAGATTACTTCATACTGTTACCATGTCCAGTTGACAGTCAGGAGATGTTGCTCCTGACACCATGACGGAGCCTCCACCATAGGGAACTCTTGGTACAATGTTCCGTTGGGTATATACAGTGTTTCAGTGTCTCCAAACCCGCATTCGCCAATCTGTGACGTACAGCAAGAATATGCTTACATCAGACCAATGGACGTCGAGTCATACGGAGTCTCTGATGATGAGCAGTTAACAAAGGACGTCTGATGACCCTTCGTCACTTCAACCTAAATGATTTTAGCAGACTTGCGACAGTTCTGTGGACAGACGACTTTTGGGAAGCCATTGTTTTCTTCAGAGCTTAATCTTAACTAAGGGTTTTTGCTTCACAGTTGTATTTTGGGGTGGCCCTGGTCTTGGACGGTCTTTAAGTTCGCGTGTCTGTCGGTGTTTTCTTATGAGTCTGCTGATGACAGTATGGCCAGAGCCAAGTTGACGTCCTATGGCTCTGTATGACATACCTGTGTCATGCATGCCAAAAATTTGCCAACGGAGTACCCCTGACAGCCTTCTGCGTGCCATAGTTATCTGCTGACCAAACAATCGCATAACAGCCACTTTATATACTCTTTCTTGCATCAATATCAAAGTGATTTTGCTGAAACTCCAGGGTATCATGCTTCATGTTCATATATCTTGTGTGGGCGTCATAGATAGTTATTGTCATGACTACACTGGAGATCGACAGCCATTCTATGAATGAGTATAATGAAACTTGAGTCTTTATAAACGGGTATATCACTGTTCTTTATTTTGTCAGGGGTGCTTAATTAAATTCTTGGTGTATATTTAATGCATATCATTTCATGATGCAGTGCTGTCCCGGGTTCTATACCTAACATGGGTAAAATGTGTGAAGTTGATCCCCCGCCGCAATATTGCTGAAATATTCTGCAAACGGCAAAAATACTCAACTCTCATTAATGTTAATGCATTACATGAGACCGTCCTCCTGTTCCCTTGTAAATATAGGTTATGTGTATATTTTAGGTATCGGATTCGCCTTCAGTTATATGCACATTTAAACGCTGTTTTAGATATTATGTGTTTAATATTTATTGACGCACATATATCTCACTTTCAGAAGCGGACCCTATCCCGATCCCTCCTGTGGCAGGCATCACACAGACATACACAGTGGAACTTGTAATACACACCGATTTCAAAGATTACACAAAGTAAGATATATACAGACGTTTACAAAAGTTCATTAATTGTAGGTATTCAACTTATTTTTTACATAATAATGAGTAAACACAACATTTCATAAGTATAATACGCCTCAGTTACGCCAAACATATTCGCGCCAATATCGTGCCAAGTTTTAACCATTATCCCGTCACTTTTACCACTACCTACGCAATACATCGCGCCATGCACGTGACTATTTCCCGGAACAGGGAAAGAACAACAAACTTTATGACACAACAGCATACATCGTTCAAACAAATTCTTTCCTCACAGTAGGATCGTACTGACGATACAAACAGAGACAGAGCCATAGGAATACTGATCATGGCACTTAAGGTGAAGACTGTTGTTCTGTATACAACTATAAGTCATCCAAAACATATGTGCAGGCAAGTGTGCATTGTCATTACCTGAATACATGTATGTATTTGATCTTTGAGAAATAGTATTTTTTAAGGATACTAATCTATAACCAGTATATATCATTTTAGAATTTCAAGATTTATACATAAATGTTCGTTATCCTTCTGTTCTAGCTTCCAACAACGGTTTGGTATAACGTCCGAAGCAGAAACGATTGACATGATGTCTCTTTGGTATTCATCGATTGCTGAATTTGTAAGACATGTTCCTGAAGTGAAGATTTGTTTGCATACCATAACAGTTTGGTGAAAAAAGAGACACACTTACCATGTTTACACGGTGCAGGGCTGAGGTTTCAGATGTTAAATTAAACACTGTTAAACTGGGTTTGGGTAATACAAAAGCCCGGAAATGTCATTTCAAGTGTTAAGATTAATTTTCCTCACATCAATACTATTCTGAAATCTAAAAGCAAATATTACAGTCGAACCTCGTTGTGTGGAACATGGATATGTCGATTTCCTGGCTGTCTAGAACTTACATTCCGGTTCATGTAAGTTCCTTCTATTTTCATCAAACATTATACTCGAATCTCTCGAACTAGATATGCCGAATTCCCGGTTGCCGTGAGGTGAGGTGAAATTGGGTTTAACGTCGCGTCCAAGATTATTGCACTTATAAAGCGACGTGCATGCACGTGTGTGTACGTGTGTGTGTTGCTGCTTGTACTGATGCCGATTTATAGTGCTAGCCCACTGAGATACCATGCCGCAATTTAACATGAATACCCCACTCAGACACAGTATACTGACTCCGAGCCGACCAGTCCTTGTTTTAGCTAATGGGAGTCCCAAGTATAAGCATAAATTTCCCCTGATGTCTCGAATAGTTTAAATAAATAGGACACACGTTCGTCACACATTCTACTCTCTCTACACACAGCGACTGACCTCACTGCGATTACATCAAATGTATAAAGTAGATATATTAGTTTCGTGACGTTGAAAGCCACATTACATTCATAAACACTGATAAGTCCGAATTTCCGACTTTGTAATACCATATAATCACGATGGTAACCAATTCTAGATCTATTGCAGCACACAGTATCATGCATTTTACAACATATATTCCGCAGAAGATTTATCTCCATCCAACCATGACCAATTCAAAATGGGATACTTGGTGTCGTACACGTTGCGAGGAGCTTAATTTTCATTAATTTCTGTTCAATATTTGACAATACATTCCCTTTTCTGTCACAACAGTATGTTGAATATAAAATTCACCTAATCATTCTATTCTACCCTGTGGATTGAGGGGTTATGACATCTGATATTAAGAGCAGTATGTCTCATTCATTTCCAGATAACGTTGACATATGGCACAGTCGTTGAGGATGATCCAGACATAAACATCCTTGTCAAGACTATAGGTCTTGTCACAGCGAGGGTATGGTATTGTTCCTGGTGCTTATTTTGGTATTTTGATTTACGATCTTGTTTGTAATACTATAACAGGGATGTAGTAAATGATATAATAATACCCTCTTATTGCAGGATATTACAGCGAGGGCCCACCTACCTGAGGAAGGTGGGCTATGTTGAAAGAATGACAAAGACGCAACAGTGGATTTAATGGCCGAGGGTGTGGAGGTTCCAAAGGGCTACCCCAATTGAGAAAACGAATAAATACTATTACAGGCCTAAATGGAATAACCATGTCAAGCCAAATTTCGTTATGTGGCGACTTGAGTCGCTAAACATATTTGTTAATAGATAATTAATGCTAAGGCCCAAATGGCAGAAACGTCACTACCCGACCACAGCTGCGTTGCCAAATATAATTGTTACTAGATTCCCGAGTGAAAACCCGGGAAAGACTGGGTTCCAACTGGTAAGAAGGTAACCCAGTCTGTGTTCTCGCTGGAAAGCAGGTAACCGGAAACCCTAATTAGTATATATATTTACATAAATTATGATGATATAGGAGGTAGCCCAGAAGAACCAGGCAACTTAGCACCAAAGTGCTACCCCACACCCCATGGCCGCGGATGATGATACGCGTGACCGCCATGATTGCCTAATGAGAGTGAATGAGTGAGTTGGGTTTTACGCCGCTTTTAACAGTATTCCAGTTATATCACGGCGTGTCAGCTTAATGTGGGAGGAAAGCCCCAAGTGATGCAGTCTCAGACGTTTACCACTTCGGTGAAACCCACGAGCACGGGTATGGTGCTGACAAACCTAGAAACATAATCGGGGCGAACCGGGATTCGAACCCACAATCATAAGAGGGGTGTTCATTAAAGATTTCCCCTAAACCACTTAGGGTTATCATATTTGGTTGAAATTTCACATTTGTAATGATACATGTATCTATGGGCTATGTCTGAATTTGCAGCACCGAACTATTAATCTTACCACTTTTACAGGTGTTATGATCGAGTAGGGTGTGACAATGGAGCCAGTAGAATACCGAGCAGTGATTAGGTTTTTATATTTGAAAGGTCGCACACCAAAAGAAACTTTTGATGAAATGAAAGGAACCTATGGGGAAGATGCCCCATCATATGGCGTTGTTAAACACTGGCATCGCCAGTTCAAGTGAGGTCGGACATCTGTGGAAACAGCTGCCATTCCTGGTCGCCCCCATTCAGCCATTGATGAGGACACTATCCATCAAGTGGAGACCGCCATTTTGGCAGACCGACGTATAACTGTTCGCCTTTTAGCACAAGATGTCAAGATCAGTGTAGGGTCTGTGAAAAAATCATCCATGACAATTTGAACATGCATAAGGTGTCTGCATGATGGATTCCAAGGTTCCTCACACCTTTCCAAAAGCAGGAACGAGTCAATTGCTCAAAGGTTCATTTTGACATGTGCCCCAAAAAACAGGCATACTTTTTTGACAGACTTATCACACAGGATGAAACATGGGTCCATCACTATGATCCTGAGACTAAAGTTCAGTCGATGCAATGGAAGCATGTGGAGTCACCACCCCCAAACAAGGCACGTGTCCAACCCTCTGCAGGCAAGGTCATGCTCACGGTGTTTTGGGACCAGCACGGAGTAGTGATGATGGATTTCTTGGCAAAGGGTACCACAATTACAGGAGCTTATTATGCTTCACTGCTGCGGAATTTGCGGGACGCTATCAAGCTTAAGAGGCGTGACATGCTGACCAAGGGTGTCCGTCTCCTGCAAGACAATGCTCCAGTACACAACTCTCATGTTGCCCAGACAGAAGCGCGGTCCTGTGGCTATGGAATCCTTCCACATCCTCCTTACTCTCCTGACCTTGCACCATCTGACTGCCACCTCTTTCCAACCATGAAGTCATTTTGAAGGGAAAACGTTTCACAGATGATGAAACACTGATTTCTGAAGTCAAGTCCTGTTTCGAGACGCAAAATGAGGGCTTTTACAAGCGAGGTCTCCATAGTTGCATACAACGATGGGAGAAGTGTGTTACTCTTGGTGGTTCCTATGTGAAGAAAGACTAATACCTATGCCAAGTTTCATTCCACTAGGTCCATCGGAAGTGGGTCAGGGGAAATCTTTAATGAACAAAATGTTATAGTTAAGACAAAGGAGGATAAGGCGGCGGGGAAGATTCATCTGCCGAGGGGCTTTGGTTGATTGCTTGTTGATGATTGTCACCACTGCCTGGTTGTCACAGTAGAACAGTATTTTCTTGTTCATCAGCTGTGTTCCCCATAGCTGAATGGCGCAGACTATGGGAAACAGCTCCAGAAAGGTCATGTCAAGTGTTGTCCCATCCTTAACCCACTGGTCAGGCCATCTACCGCAGAACCATCTGCCCTGAAGGTAGGCCCCAAAACCTATGCTGCCTGCTGCATCTTTGTAAAGCTGAAGGTGAGAGTTGTCTACCCACAGCTTGTCCTGAAATACTGCTACACCATTAAAGTTCGTGAGAAATGTAAGCCATATTTGAAGATCCTGTTTTACCCACGCAGGGCTTGAACTATTGTTTGATAAGGGGGTCGACGGACCCCCTGTCCTCGAAAGCAGGTCGACGCCCCGTGAGATGTTTCGCCGCACTTGCTGCATCTGTGGGAGTACGCACAGCTGTACTTTTTACACCCATGGTGTTTGTGGAATGCGTAGCATAGGTTAAATGAAGGGTCTGAAACACTTGAAGCAGTCAGCTGACCGACTGAACCACCTACCTGTTGACGCCCCGACTGCGGGATCATGTATTTTAGCCATAGCTCACCGTCAATTTTGTCCAATTGTCGTAGAGGGTATCTAGCCATCCTATGTCGGAATTGCTGGTCGTATAGACACCAGTCATCCGGTCCAAATCTAAGTGCCGCTGAACGGATTGTCTCCATGTACGATAATAGGCTTTGCACCATCCGTAGACTGAAATGTTTGGGAAGGTATATATTCATGTAAATATGGAAAGCGGATGTCCAGCTTCCAGGTGTTATTTTTTTCGTTGGCGCTTTGACAGGTTTAAATAGCACCTTACCTGCTGTATCGGTGACCATAGTAAGAGCTTCGCTCTCCTCGGTGCCAGCGTCGTTGGGTAGAAGTGTCCCGATGTCAACATTCTCACCTTGCCATACTTTTTCCCTTGTTTGTTGTTTGACATGTGCATCGATAAACTCGGAGTTGAAGACGAGGGATTCCCCCGACGGACGATTTTCACCGTCCGCTGTAGCACTTAGCACTTGGCATGATGAGGATCCCGTTAACCTCTCTTGGGGGTGGGGTGACAACTCGTGCTTGTTTGGCCCCTCTGACCAAACGATGGTTTATGCCAGCTCTTCTTTTCGCGGGAATAGCTATTAGATCGATCTATCAACGATATCTCGTGAAACGGTTGTGCGAAGAGTATGACTAAACGTTAGCGAATGTATGATTGAAGGAAGAGATAAAAGCGGAAAGCGACAATGCGATGTACAAGCGATGAACGGCTATGCGAGAGTGATGAGTAGAGACAGTTATGTAATTGAAAAAGCAGTGATGACGTCACCACGAGATGGTTGCGTAACTTCCGAGGACACGCGCGTGCAATGACGCAACAGGAAGTAGGTAGAATTGTAAACGTAAGATGATATACCTGCAATAAAAACATTTAGTCGCTAGTACTAAGTAGTTTACATTCGAGCGTTACTGTGCTGAATGTTTAGCCTCGTGTCAGAGCAACCATTGTAACGTAACCCTGCGTGTGCTATGGGACCGTATATCCGTTTTTATTTACTACAAAGGCGACTTTTCGGTATAGATACCAATGCCGGTGTCAAGCAAGGCTTACAATTGTGTCTACTTTGTCATCCGCCAACTTCTAAGTAATGCCTCTCACACAATTCACTTATATGAGTATTCCATTTAAAGCTATCCTTATATTTTGATAATATTCTGTTTCTTCGAATTAATTGGTATGTATAAATTTTTGTTTGACATCGAGCTTTCATCAATGGATGGAATTGATGCTCAATGTATATAATATTTTGTTTATCTAAATACAAATCAGAAACTTCTTTTACTCGTAATGTTTTGCCATGGATACAATGTCAAACAATATGATTTTTAAATAATATAATCTCTGCAAAAAAAGAAACGCAAAACTGGTCATTTCTGCATGGATAGGTATCGATTTGTGTGGAAAGGAGGTACTGTACAAATATGGTGAAAAGATGGGAAAATCGAAAAAACACAAACACGTGAGATCCTGGTGCCGAAACACACCAGCATGACATGAACATGCAACATCACTTGTTAGGTTTTTATTTGGATGTCGGCACAATATTATGGCTAGTGAACAGCGAAAACATGCCACGACTGAAGAAAGGCCAACCGAGAAATCAGCCAGTTCAAGGTGTCATTTTGACGGACCTGCATCGTCGGCTACGACGTCAATGGTGTCGAGATCACAGAGTATGACCACAACTGCGTTGGAGACGAGTCACGTTTTATGCTTCGCCGTGTGGATGGTAGACGCCGTGTTTGGAAGCGTATCGGGGAACGTTATGTACGAAACTGCATGGTGGTGGCAGTGTGATGATGTGGGCAACCATCTCCCACATTGACAGAACAGACTTGGGGCAAGTTCGAGGGAATTTAACGGCACAACGTAATGTTTAGACGTCGTGTTTACATGTGTCCCGGGACACGTTATGCACGAAACTGCATGGTGGCAGTAGTGTGATGATGTGGGCACCCATTTCTACTGCTCTACACTGTTCTACACTGGTGAAATAGACTTGGGGCCAGTTCTTGGGAAATGAACGGCACAACGAGATTCTTCGGCCACACGTCCTTACCATTATGCATCAAACAAACGTCATTTTCCAACAAGACAACGCCCGACCTCACAGAGTAAGACTGACAACATCCTTTTCAGGAATCACAATAGCCAGGTCCTATCATAGACCTTCAGGCCTCCAGATTGAAACCCAATCGAACATGTATAGGATGTATTGGATCAACGACAGTTGGTACAAGAACTGCAGGCAGAGTGGGTGAACATTCCCCAGACCACAATTCAAAATCTAATTGCTTTCATTGGACGGCGATGTCAGTCAGTTTGCAAAATATAAAGAACAGAAGACCCTTACCTAACATCAACTGTTCCCTGTGTGCCACATAGAACCTGGGTCAATGGCAATGATGTGTGCCTACCTTTTACAATCGATTACCATCTGCTGATTATTTATATGACGCATAAAGTATATACCTTAAATCACTTTTTTGCAGAGTTTTGTTCGAGCTAGAAACCAATTTAGCAAAATCAACTTTAGTTTAAGTGTTTTAAACTACTTTTATCTCAACGACTGCATTTGCCGGAAGAAGAATGATTATTACATGACCTTACCTTACATTTTGTGTCGAGTATATACAATATTATGAGAAAGCAATTATAAATCATGATCTGAGCATTCCACAAATACTTATTTGATGACAATCTGTGAATCCAAACAAGAATAAGACTTCCCTGTAAACTGTTGAAATATTACCTTAACTGAAATGGCATGTTACAGCTTAAAAGGTCCCCTGCTCGGTTTTAACTCAAGATCTATGACGACAACCTGTCTTCAATCAATGTTAGCCCATTCCTGATTATGAAAATGTGGTCGCCAGAACTGCAATTCATTTGGGCTATTTTCGTGGTCTGGCTTCTAGACTACTTCCCGAGTTTCAGTCGATAATACCCGCAGTACAAAAATAGTACAACTACTGAAAACATCAACCTCACCTTTAAAATGATGACAAGTGTACCTTTTTGTAAATTTGAATTAACCGCTTATTGCTGTGCTGTAACGTTCGATTTCTATTTCTTTTTCCTTTCATCGAATCTTTGTAAATGGTGCAATGATGGATTTGCTGAAATAGTATTTTACTCATGTCTAATGATCCTGTTTTGTACTGTGGTCGTACAAGATAACTGATAACTGAAAATATATGTATATGTAGGATCTACTACACATTAAAAATTTCAACAGAACATGGAATATATTATTATAACAAGATAGGGTGCTTACTTTCAGCATTCTGCGATGGATTGTCATTAATATTAGATTTACAAATTATCGATGGAAAGTGTACCCTTCATATAATGTGTCGCAAGTCACGATTTCCACAGTGACCGACGAGTAAATGAGACTTACACCTTGACTGACACCGAAATAATTTGGCGCAGTTTTCTAATTTTGGTATGTTGACATTTGCTTTTCAAATGTGATTCAAGGCATGATTTTCCGTGACAATCAAACAATGATTATACCAGGTGGTCTCAAAAAGGTAAGCGTATCCTGCCCTACCGCCTGTACCCTTCCCAAACACATGCAAAGGCAAGACAATTGTTCACCTGTCTGCCATAAAACCTTTTGAATGCTGCACTGAGGCCTTAGGCCTTAAATGTCTTGGGAATCTTCGTAGAAAGAGCATGATCGATTGTATCTTAAAAGTTGTGAAATGTAGACATCAAAGACTAAACTGCTGGAAATTTTCGGCATAAAGGGACAATTGACAAGTGGGAAGGTTGAAGTCATCCTTCGTATCATAAATTATGACAAAGACCTGCAGACCGTGCAAACAGTCCAGTAATGGAACATTCATATCAGCGTTGAACGACTTATTTGAGTATTTGTTTATGGTGCTCACAAACCTAGAAGCATAATCAGGACGAATATTACAGAACGATCAAAATTTCTGACATTTCCTCGGTTGGCCACTCTACGCAGCGAAATGCGTTCCCCTAATGGGACACTAGTGTCACTATTTGTGAACTTTTCTCGATCCAAATGGTTAAAGCGTTCTCTCGTCACAACGATGATCCGGAGTCGATGCCCCGCCGGTATACAATTTGTGAAAACCGACGTTTGGTGCCCCCTGTCATGGTATGGATGAAAATTGTTAAAAGAAGCATAAATCCGTTCTCTCTCAATCTTTAACTAAATCCGATGTTCATGCTCCTTTTGCAGTCTCCAAATGAGTCTCCCTGGTCGGACAACAATATACGCACTGACGGAACACTCGACGCCTCGGCAGCAATAAATGCCTTCGTAATCCATAGTGCTACGCTGATTAGTCAGGGTGCTGTTCCAGGGGGCGATCACTCAATGGCTTTTACAGGGTAGGCATCACCATGCTGTTTCCTTGGCTGGTCAAGGGTTAATACTTCGTCCCTGACTAATCTAAATTCATGTAATTATGAAGTGTTTTCATAAGGGAAAAGTTATATGTTTGGTGGGTATTTTTCATCATAAAAGCCGAAACTAGTTTGTAGATGGTATCATCCTTAAACTATTGATATAACCCAACCATACCATTAGGTTGATATTCGTTCATACATCTCTATGACTTCGGGACTGAAGTATTTGAATATAAATTTATTAAATGAATAATTCTTACTTTGTAAATGTTGAGTGGATGAACCTATTTTAAGTCTCCTTCACATTTACATGGATTCTCCCGTTTTAGTTTGGACGTCATTGAGTGAAAACTATCATGATATTGAACTCAGGCGGTTTTATGTATGAATAAGAACTATTTACCTGATACTTACGAACTGTCGCTTGCTGACAAGTATTGTGGTCAGTTACACAGATTCGGTGTAAGCGTATATTTCATATGACACGCATGGTGTACATGATATTCCAGTATCACATAGGAATGGCAATGGCTAACCCCAAACATTGCCGTTAGCAATATATATGAATAGTTATTACATGGCTCTTCATATGCAGTAAGAAGGACAACCTGATCTTTTGATGATAAACCTGTTGTGAACATACATGTTGTTTGTTTGTTGTTTAACGCCGCACTCAACAATATTCCAGCTATATGACGGCGGTCTGTAAATAATCGAGTCTGGACCAGACAATCCGGTGATTGCGTCATGAGCATCGCTCCACGCAATTGGGATACGATGACAGGCATCAACCAAGTCAGCGAGCTTGACCACCCGATCCCGTTAGTCACCTCTTACGACAAGCATAGTCGCCTTTACGAACATACATACACCTTTGTGGTAGGTATATGATTCGTTCATACACGTCATAAGATTGATGAAACATGAATTCTTCGAATCATGCGGAAGATACAGTGTCTTACAGTATGGACGCAATCGGTAAAAGTACATGTATGTGACCTGACAATCGTTTGTCACGAATAGCATGAATCGTTGCAGTACCATCAACCACTGTTTCATATTATCTTCATTCTACTTTTTGCAGGACAATGTTATTTATAAAGCATCACTGACTTAATGATGTTAGTGTTTATTTTGAGGCTTTTTATTTACCTGTAACATTTTTGTTAACTTTGTCAGCGTGAGGGGGCACTGGTGACCCAGTCGTCTAAGGCGCCGCAATTCGCTGTGCAGAGTTGCGTCACTTGGGCATGCCAGAAACCTATGATTGTGGGTTCGAATCCCGGTTCACCCCGATAATGTTTCTAGGTTTATCAGCACTATACCCGTGCTCGTGGGTTTCACCGAAGTGGTAAACGTCTAAGACCTGCATCACTTGGGGCTTTCCTCCCACATTAAGGTGACAAGTCGTGATATAATTGGAGTAATGTTAAAAGCGGCGTTCAACACATTTCACTCACTTATCAGCGTGTGCATGTTAAGAACGTTTTTTAGTAAAAGAATACTTGAATAAGCAAAGTCATTAAAGAGTTTAGTATTCACTACGTTTGATCATGATAACTCATATTAAAGTACTCACGGAAATGAAAAAAACCTGTTTTGTTGGATCTAATAATCGACACAAATGAAAATACGAAATAACAAAACAACTGGAAAAGTACTAGTCTGTATTTGCTAGTTTTATCTCAGTGCTCAATACAAAATGTACTTTACAGGAGGTAATTTGTAGGCACTTTCAACATTCAAAAATAAAACTAAGTCCAAATTGACATGGCAGAAACAGGCTATAGGCATTATGCAAATTAGCCTTGGTAAAAAAAGTTATCAAAACAACAATAAAAATAACAGCTATGTTTATGTACATAATAAAAATGACATGTAAGTTGTTTGAGAAGGGAATATGTTACTTTTATGTTCTGATATTTTGACGATGATTCACTATCCCACAATGCCACTCACAAATCACTAACCACTGACAAATCACATGCTCCTGGGTTTCAAGCACCTGTTTTCACCTGTCGCAAAGGTGTCAAAGGTCATGGACATTCACCTTGATCTACTAACACCTGGTCATGCTCAGTTTCACAATAGTCTGTTTTGTTCATATTTTTACACACTTTTACCTGTAAAAAGACATAAAAACCTTTGATACGCTGTATTTGTGGCAAGGCCCAATTAGTACTAATTGAGTTGTTTGAATATTTATATATTTTGTATATTAACTGCATTTATTTAAAATCTAAGATCGAAAAAACAGGGTTTTTTCATTTCCGTGAGTACTTTAGTAACCTGTATATTCGGCAGGCGCGACCTATGGACGTCTTCATCTGGCTCTCGCAACCTAGGTAAGTGCATACAAAAAAATCAAGGATTCATTCTCCTCACAAAACATGACATATGCTTAATTATGTTCATGATGCATGCACATCTAACTAAGGCAAGAAGCAAGAGTACTATTAGGACTAATATGAGGCTTAGGATTGTAGCTTCAAAACAGGTCAGAAAACAACTTATCATTTGTGTAAAATACATAATTTACATTCATGACACAACATGCAAACTTTATTTTGCCTACACTAACCTAAACAGGGAATGCTGAGTAAGGTAAAACCAGTTTTCTTGTTTTCACGTGTTTTCCAAAAGAGATAAACGAAACCTGACATAACTACATACAGGTAATGTATGAATATATAGTTCGTATCTTGGTAACTGAAAAGTAAAATGTGTCCGCATATTGAAGCCGGTTATCGAAATTATTGTAATGTCACTGATATATCAGGTGCCGAGCTGTCGCGCAGTGCACGGTGCAGATGAAATAAATATTGTCGAATAAGTGCGGTGTACATTCACCGAATAATACGCATGATAGTTATTCAAAAGACGGAGTACATTCACACCATAAAGGGAAATAGTACACCATATTTATTCCTATTGTTGCCTGTCTACCCTGTCTTTTCTAGAGCTATCGTTCGTAACGGGCAAGTAATATGCATCACAGAATACAGACGATAGTTACTTTCAGGACAGTTTACATTCACTGCCGATCTTGCAAGTTATACCATGGCATTTGACTGGCACACCAAGTAATTTGTTTTGCGTTCATGTAGCAATAACCCGAAAAAGATTTAGGCCAGGCCCACTGATGGTTTACCAATTTGCGAATTATAGGTTGGGCGGGGCTTGGGTTGAATTATTGCGCTGATGCAACTGCTTCCGGATTATTGTCTATTGTTTTTGTGTGTAAATGATAACTTACATTTTGATTACATAAGCAGTATGTGGAGTTATTATTATTTGCGTATTTAGTTATAAGTACTGACTTAATTGTGTTTTTTTATGTTTACAGAGTGAGGTATGCACTCTTTGGGTAAATCCGCTATTTTACGGTGGTGCCTCCAAAAACGAAAACAAAACTGATGTCAATTTTAAAACAGAATGTGGGTTGGGTTGGGTTGGTTTGGAATAGGCTAGGTGCACCGTTTATTACATACAGTAACTGTAGAGAGGACAATGCACATATTTCTATTACTTGTGATTTTTACATTCCTTTCAGGTCTCGCCTATGTTGATGCTCTGTGTGGATCGTTTTCTGTTTCCGTTAATGAGAACCAGTTCGTCGGCTGGGAAAGCAAAATTGCAGGACATGAGCTTGGACATAGGTATAATTTAGTACCTGTCTACTTTGTTTTGTTGATGGGTAAACCGATTCACTTAAAGAACGAGTATCATATTGGTAGGTATAAAAGAAACATCGAAAGTAAATACAGGTTTTACATGTACAATGGTAAAAACAAATATGGTAGAATACCATACTTTTCTGCTTGCATGTACAACAGCAATTGTCTCAAAGCTCTGTTTAATTATTTGTCTTTTTCTACTAAATATATTAAATAAATCACACAAGGTTAACACGAAGAAATTTATATCAGGCGTACCATTCCTCAGTCAACGTATTACGTACATGTGAATAACAACGATCGGCCTAATCACTTTTTGAGGGTCACTGTTTCAAAACAAAACAAAAATTCCACTGAAATTATTACAATGCAAAGTTTCTTTTTTTTCATCAATTCCTGTCAACACCAGAAAGTAATCTATCGGGAATATCAGAGATTTACGGGGCGTAAAATGCAAATAAGTTATGGAAAAGATATGAATGGATTACTGAATATCGGTGATGGCGACAGGCGCCACTATACTATTAACACAGGCATTTAAACAATTTTCACAAAAAGGACATACCATTGGGTAGCTCGCGCATTATGATGACAGGCGACGTTTCATATTGACGAAATTTCTCTGATTATCCACTATTCAAATTCTGGAGTGACAACCAGGTATTTGACTGAAAAGCTTACTTTTTAGCAAAATGTGTCTTTCCGTGAAATGTTAACCAGACGTACCTGTAAAAGTACCAAAGCAATTGTGACATTTAGACGCACTAAGCTTGATTAAATGGTATAACTGTCCTACATCGACCCTCTTGTCGTACACCATTGAACGTGGGCTGCAATAAGTTTGAATGGCAATACACATGTCCAGATGTGACACTGAATATGGTTTCCTAGTTGTGTCTTTGATTTCTGACTCTTTGATTTATTTTATCCGTTGATAAACTGTTATGTTTATTTCAGCATTGGAGCTCGCCACGATAGCAGTGAGGGATGTGCGGATAACGATTTCTTTGTAATGGCCGCTTTTGTTGTCATGCCCAACCAAATACCTGATTCGTTGCTGGATAACCTGTTTCGATTTTCACCATGCAGTATAGCCAAGTTCAGGAGCACACTATTGTATGTCTAGTTTCAATCATGTGTTCTATTTTCTTTAGGGCTTACAACAATATCTAGAGTTGTCACGAGTATAGTGTTGATTTGGTATAACTGTGCCATACGATATCAATACATGTAGCAGTGGGTTATTATGTTTAAATGTTTTGTTTGTTTTTGGATATGTCTATACAGTTGATGACGTAAATGTTTGTAAATGTTGTGAAGCCCTTTACTCTTGCTCGAAGTGGCACTGTTTCCCCCTTTTTGCAAATGTTGCTTTTTCGTCCAGTGTACAATCTGACAAAAAAGATATAAGACGTCATCATTAAGAGTACATGATGGTTTCTAACGTAAACGTATCTGATTGTAGGGCAGCTGCATGTACTCTTCAAGATTCAAATATCCCCAACATAGACCGTGGACCATCTGGGCAGATCTTCGACGCTGATGCACAGTGTCGGTCGTTCATGGGATTAAGTTCAAGGTTTTGCAGGGTAACTCCTTTTCTTTGATGACATGTTTGTATGAAGTATTTATATGATACTTCACATGCTGGGATGGATTGCAACGAATTTATGCCATATAAACAAAGATAGACTCCTGATCAGGATGCTGGAAAGTTCAAATGTAATGTAATTATATCTGATACAAAATTGTAGTTTCATTAAACATTCGTTTTCAATAAATTTACTGTTTGTGTCACATACAGGGAGATGTCATGTTTCAACAAATTACGCCCTTGACCGTTTTATGTGTCGTACTAAAGAAAACTTTTTGTTCAACTTATTGAAATGTATGTTCACATGCAAATGCAGTGTTGGGGAAGTAATTTAAAATAGATTTTAACATGTACAGGTTAGGTCTTAAAATTTTCAGTCGAAACTATGTTTTGGATCTTAATATTTTTGTGCTATGATGCCTCTTAACAATGTGATGATATCTCAAACACAAACACCATCATCAATTGCATTTTGCACTAATTGTTGGTAATAAACATAATCTCACCCTCGTGTCTTCAGATATCAACTTCATCAACACCAGTCAAATGAATATGCAAACTCTACGGGCGCGTTGAGCGGACTCATTTTGATATAAAAAGACAACGATCCACCATGGCTCATGTATGCAGTGTGAATACTCTATAAGCACGTGTTCCTAATTTTGGAAACAAACTGCTGAACATAAATCAACTATACCAGATGTATTGATGCTGTTATTCTGTAAAGAGAATTGCAAGCATATATCATAAATAATTGCCAAATGAAAGGAACAGTGTAATCATGATATCAACTACACATCAGGGTTTGTAGTGCATCTGCATTGTGCCCGTATGTGAGTAATCTTATTGTCTCACACTTCTTAGACTCAGCACCATCTAAGGGATATGGAAACAGCTCAATGTAGAATCCTCAGAATTGATTTGGTTTTTTTTCTAGGAGGAAACATCTCGGCGCCAGAATTGTTTTGCAAGCATGTGTTCCTCTCTCCTGTGCTTTAATCCGGCTTCACCATCACAGTGTCGGGAGTTCTTTCCTTTTGCCAGAACCTCCTGTGGCAGTGGAAAGGTAATATTTGTGTATGATACCATCTTTCCTTATATTGACTTTACTGGGTCAACGTTTTGATTTACACTTATCAGAGGGGTACACAAAGTATGTTATCTGGGCTACAAGTTGTCGAACTTAGTGGGGACCTCGGTTGTTTCGTGGGTAAGAGGCTGACTTTGTGTACTGACAATTAGGTGACTCACTCGGGTGTAGGTTCGAATCCCGGAAAATAGAACTAGAATGTGTACTTTAATGAGAAAATGTTATTTCAACTACTACATCTGTGGCATTGTGATACTTAAAACAAGATAAAAGCGATGGACTGTAATGTTTTATACCCTTACTTAATGGTCAAAGGTGTGCAAATGTGAACAGCAATAATGTGAATATGATCCTGAATGTATCGTTCAAGATTTCCACATATTTTTGTTTGACAGTGGTGTGAAGCTGGACGATGTGTAGCAAACAGCAATGCCCCGACTACTGTTGGTAAGACACAGTTATTGCTTGCACAGAGATACCATTGACATTTTACATACATTTTGTTTAGTTTAGTAAAGTTCGGATAATGAAAGAAAACGATAGCGTAGATGATAGTATAACAGAAGATATTCTTGGTCCCCGAAAGGCAAACTGATTGTTTAACAAGAAGGATGTTGCTATGCAAACAACAACGTCTTGTACGTCACATTTTTGGAACTGATTCAATAGATATTCTTTTTAAATTTTCTTTTACGCATGTTCTTTAAGAATGTATCTATTCTTTGTGTTGTAATAACGATTGACAATAGGATTTTATCCCAAAAAATAAATTGTCCCTGAAAATTCTGGAAAAGATTTCAGACAATTAACAAATGAAATTGCCCATCACAAAAAAATGCATTGTTGAAAGATGTTTTCAGAAAAAAATATTACAGCTCAAAATCTGGTTTTGTAGTTGTAGATTAAAAAATATCTAATTTCTTCTTCTGGTCAATCATTCTCAATGATTGATGTGAGAAAACCACGGGCTTAGGTCAAATAACTTGGAGGAAATCTTAAATTCAAAATTCATTGTTTTTTTAAAGGTCTTTTCCTTTTGAAATTCCCCCATGTGTCATAATTGTTGTTATTCCTTTGTTAGGAAGCCTTCTTTAAAACTCATGTGTTTTCAGAAAGGTTTACAAAATATTACCATAAAGCAAACTAACAGGACATTCTGGGTTTGGAAAAAGAGTAAGGATAGAAGCTGTGGTATTTTTATTGGATAATGTAACAAAGCTAATATGGAAATGATTATATACATTTGTGCTTGTTCTTGGGTAAGACGATGATACTACTTGGCTGCATTTCCAGTTTAGGATAACAGTTTGTTAATTTGAACATTTTCAGAGGGATGCCCTCAAGGAGATGATCCAAGTGTTGCATGTCAAGCCTCTCTGTGCCCTTCTTTCAACCCTGTCTTAAGGGATATCCTATGTTGCCAGACCTGTAATGAACCATATATATGCCCATTTACAACACCTACCACAACGTCTACAACCACCACCCCGTCAACCACAACCACCACCCCGACAACCACAATTACAACTATTACAACTACAACACCAACCACTACTACAAGTACCACAACCACAACCCCAACAACCACCACTACAACTATTACAACTACAACACCAACCACTACTACAAGTACCACAACCCCAACCCCAACAACCACCACTACAACTATTACAACTACAACACCAACCACTACTACAAGTACTACAACTCAAACAACCACCACTACAACTATTACAACAACTCCAACCACTACTACAAGTACCACAACCCCAACCACAACCTCTACCACCACTATAACTACCACTACCTTTACCACAACCCCTACACCCACCACCCATACCACAACCTTTTCTACAACAACAACAACCATACCAACAACGCCTGATACGGTTATTGAAATTCCCAACATACCTATCAGATTGTCCAAGTGTAAGCGGAAGTTTGGGCGATAATATCGATTAAAATATTATGCAAGTCACAAATACCGAACTGGTATATCTTAAAGTGAAACTGGCGTATTATTACACGAAGAAACTGTTCGTTTTCAAGGATAACCCTGTCTTCCTGTCACTGGTGTAATGTGGACATGCAATAAAGAGGTTTGAGATAAGACATGTATTCTGTTTCACGAGGAGCTAGTGAGTGAGTGAGTGAGTTCATATTTTACATCTCATTGGAAATTGTGCAGCCATATCGCGATGAGAACACGTTAGTTATTGTTTAATACCTGTCGACAAAGGATGGTCAAACAGTAAGTTAAATATCACAGATTATTTACAAAGAAAACCAGGTCAACATTAAAACAAATAAATGTTCAATAGAATAAGTGAATGTTTTAAAACTAGGCTATCGACCACTAGCATCCAAAGCTAGACCACCTCACGGAGGACCATGGGGACTCACGGGGCTTCTGCTTTTTATGTCATCACCTTGGGCACCTGTGGTTATATGGAATGCTAATCAATATTTAAAACAAACAATAATCAAGGAATTAAAACACTAGTCGTTGTTATATACATGTACTTTAATTAAGATGGACTCACGTGCCACTGTCAGGGCGGAAATAATTTTACGCTACCTTAACCCCTCGATTGACACCACCTTCAGTAATCTCAGTTGGTGAAAACATCACACAGATTGAAAACACAATTCAAGCATTCAAAATTTATCAAACAATTCTAAGTCTTTTAAACTCGAGTGACAGGAAATAGTCACTGGGGGCTAAATCTGGGCTGTACAGTTAAATCACCCACCCTACAGTCCAGACTTAGCCTCCAGTGACTTTTTCCTGTTCCGGCAAATGAAATCTGCCCTTCGTGGAAGCTGCTTCCAGGATGACGAGGACATAAAGGCTGCAACAGAGGCGTGCTTAGAGGGTTAATCTGCGGATTTCTATAGAAGTGGTATGAAAAGCTTGAAGGACAAATGGAATAAGTGTACTGAGGTGAATGGAGATTATATTGAAAAATAAAAGTGCAAAAGATATTCTGCGATTTGGCCTTATATTGAAGTTGCAAAATTTATTGAACGCCCCTCGTATCAAGAGCTGCTTTACCCGCAACACCAACATGACAAGGTATCCAACAAAGAAAGATGTCGTATTGGCCAGTGGCGAGAGTATTTTTAGATTTAAAATATACAAGGAATTAATGGATAATTCGAGTTGACATTCATACGTGCCTGTAGGGCGTAATAAGGTATCAGAGAAAATTATGAAATGTTCACATTCAGGTTGTTTCTGAATATATGCCAAGGCTAGTTTGCATCGCCTTGGCTTCAGCTGTAAAAATTTAGTTGTTTGGCTCAAAAATGATTTCTTTTCAGTTTACCAATGAGCGAAGACATGAATCGGTATCTAGATATTTGCTGCTGTTATGTGAGCCTCTACATACAGACTATCAACAGGATAATGTCCCGAAAGCTCCAAGACAGAGCCTCAAGCCCTGGTGATGTATTGAATCTAGTTTCAGTAAGCAACATTTACAGACTTCACCATAAATGATGAAACCGTAATCTAATTTTAAGCGGATCAGCGATCTTTACAAATATTTGACCCCCGCCCCACTTTTAGTTTGAAACGACTTTCAGTAAGTCTAGTGCTTTTAGGCACTTTGCCTTGAGATATTTGATGTGTGGCAAGAATGTCAAGTGGCGGTCGAAAATAAGTCCAAGAAATTAGCCTCCTCAACTACTTTGATGGGTTTGCCAGATATAAATAGTTCTGGGTACTTGTACTGTCTATATTTACTGCAAAAGTGTACACAATTAGTTTTAGTTTTGGAAAAGTTTAAGCCGTTAAAAAGCAAGGAAAGGGAGAAAAAAGTCCAGTTTCAACTCTTGCTGAACTAGGCTGGAGTTTCTAGGCTCGATCGCAGCGCCACCAGTGGCTTTTACGAGTAATGTCCCTTCTATGTCCCTCCGACTGACCAATCAGATTCAATCTCTCATATCGCTTGCAATTGCTTCGAACAAAATAGAAGCGCCCAGTCTAGACGATCTGATCGATAATCAAAATATGTATTGTAATAAAACAGGTCTTACCTGCGAAGCGCTTCAGATCATTTAGCACCTTGATTAAAAACTTGACAAGATTTCAAAAATATCTGTCGACGCCAAGTTGAATATACACATGATTGCAAATCCTGCCGTCATCCCACACTCAATTCATTAACATTGCTTCAGGCAGATAACCAGTATACATTAGAATTACAAATGATTGACCGAGTTGTTGTTATACTTTGCTCTATTTCACTTGCATAGAAGCAACCAGTGTTATTGCAGGAGGAAAGCATGCATCATTGTGGTTCTGCGCTGTGAAATCTGTGAATATCAACTGCATATATAATTATACATTACATCATCTGTATCATTCATAAATTAGTTTGTACAAATTTGTATTTGCAGTTTACCATTTGACACAACGATTTTAAATAACAGATATATCATTTCACTTAATTCTACTTGATTGGTCTCACAACTAAGCAGATGCCATCAATGTCTGATTGACGACCGATGCAGTATTGAAACCTTCCAGGCTCACCAGGACCATGTTAGAAAACCTGGTATTCAACTTATGTGCAAGCACAGGACAGGATCTGGCTCTGAGGTACATTTACCCCAAAGCAGATATCCAGACTGCACCTAAGGACCACGATTATCTTCCCTTACCATTAACAGAGTACGTGGTTGATAACTTATTTCTGAAGTTTTCTACATTTTTGGAACACCAACAGTCTATAGAGTCAAACTACCATGTGAGTTGTGTTTGCTGAAATTACATTTCAATATTGCCTTTTCAATGTTAACTGTGGACACCAAAAACTTTTCATTTGGAACATCATAAACTTGCCGGACATTGCAAAAAAGTTTTAATTTATATTTTATTGACAGGTGACACAGAAATCTGCTCAGCTGCTGGAAGTAAACACTCACACTTAGGCCAAGTATAAACTTTGGCAGATCGGGCGCAAATGGAGGATTACGGCATCGCGTTTAGGGGACATGTCCAATGCAACAGAGAGAAGAAACAGTGACACTCTGTGCCAGTCTATTGTTCCCCTTAGTTCTTCTGGGGCACCTGTTGTTCATGGGAAACAGTATGAATCTGTGGCAGTGAAACAATCTATGTACAACTTAAATGTTCAGAAATGTGGGCTGTTTGTTTGGCCAGAGCTTTCATATTAAGGGGCTTCACCAGTTGGAGTTTTTGACAATGACACGATTGTGGAAATAAAATGTCCATATGTAGGAAAAGATGTGAAACTGAACATGGTAAAATGTTTTCATGTTTTTGTTATTTCTCACAAGAAACGGAGTCAGCTACAAGGTCAATTGTATTTGTCACGTTCAAAAAACATGTTTCTTTGTTGTTTACACTCATAAAGATTTGCTTTTGTGCAAAGTCAATTAAGACAGAGAACTTTGTGAAATTTCAAAGTTGCAAAAGTTTTGAATTATTTCATAAGAAGTACTTAAGACATTTTATTGCAGGACACTCTTAACTACTGCATGGTTGTAGAGGCTGTCTGATATAGATTTTACAAGATGCCAGTTGAAATATTGTAATTCTACATAAAATGTTACTGTGTATGTGGCCATCCTTCCTAAGAGTTTGCAAAATAATTTGAATATCAACTGTTAACACCGCGGTTTCCACAAAATGGAAGTCAGACAACAGGTAGTCGAGATCATTTTTATGGTGGATGAGTGGCTTAAATCGCCTCACTTTGAGCGTGTGGGTTCCTAAAAAGTACCAGAATTTGTGCTAGACTAAGGAAGTGTCATCCCAAATATAACAGTTGTTACACTCTCTAAAAAGGCATACAATTTAATTAACATATTCAATGCGATCAGATGGTGTAATCCATTACATAATATGCTTTGAACATGTCAAATGTGAATGATTTAATATTTTTGAGCAAATAAAAACACTACTTTGTGATAATTGAGAGTGATTTGCATAATTACAAGCATGGATCATGAATTTCAGAATATTTACCCTGCATGTTGTCATTTGTTTCATAGCAAAACACATGGTAATGATACAGTTCTATAAATGTATACATGTACAATTAATGCTTTTTAATGATGGAAACGCAAGTGTGAGCAGACTTGTAAGAGACCCGTGAAGATCCGGGTAGAGAATAGGTCTTCAACAAACCATGATTGTCGTAAGAGGCGACTAACGGGATCGGGTGGTCAGGCTCGATGACTTGCTTGATGCATGTAATCATATCCTAATTGCGTAGATCGATTCTTATAATGTCAATCACTGGATTGTCTGGTGCAGACTCGATTATTTACAGACCGCCGCCATGTAGCTGGAATATTGCCGAGTGCGGCGTTAAACAACAAACAAATGACTTATACTGTACATTTTATAATACTCAAATTTCAAATACTGTGATATTAAAATATTGATGACAAAAGAAAGTGTATGCAAGCAATCCCACGATTGCATTTCTGAAGTTATGTATACAGAAACATGCATTGTATAAAAGCATTCTTTTCACCCATCAGAACTTTACTAGGCGGTAAGTCTCTTGTCAGAATTTTGAAAGATTTACCCAGATCAATTTCACTTTCAATGTGAATTTGCTTTGATTTTGCAATTCTCCTGTCATTAACAACTTCCTCTAGCTCGAGCTGAGATTTTCCCTTGAGCATGGTAGGTGTGTTCACATACACATCCTTGGCCGCAAATAAATCCTGGATCCTGATGCCTCTATCGGCCATTTTACTGTCTTTCCTTTGGAATAATGAGACAGTATCAGAACACAACTTACTTCTTCCAATGATTTGGCGGTCACTAGCTGATGCCCCATAGCTTCTGCTAATGTTAGATACCACACCACGGGGCGTTTAGCCACTCATGTTCTTATTTTTGTACGTCGAAAAGGTGGCACTCCGGGCTTTTACATTTGACAGCTTCTGGATAGGGGTTGCATCAAGTTAGAGCATTGTTGATGGAAATTGTTTGTCAATTTTTTCTGGGCTGGTTTCATGTGTAACTTCCTTTAGTGGTCATGTGTTCATCTCTTGTAGCTGGAAATATATAAAAAAAACAGATCGACTGACTTCATACATACGAGATATCAAGCTCCATGTCATCTTTTCCTTGTCTCAACTTCATTAAGGTTAAGGGAGATCAAACACTACATTTGTAGTTTAATTTGTCAACAGCTGGTCCCAGGATATTGAAAAATATCATGAAATGATCATAACTGTCAAGTACTGCATGATATTAGTTTAATCTTAAAACATTTTTTTGTCCACATGGCTTAATGTTAAGCTTAATACAAAAAGAATAAACTCTTCATAAAACACACACACCCAAGGTAAAATTTGCGTAGATCTGTTTCTATCCGAAAACTGATGACTTCATATTTCCTTGTGTACCACTTATTCACAGATATATAGAGATGCATTAATTTGTATTTTTCTCCCTAGATAGCTTCAATGGGCTATGTAAACGACTTGTTTATAGCCAAAGCAGTCGTGTCAAAGAAGTCCAAATAATTTGTGTTGTTTAATATATATCAGGAATGAATTAGAAATAAGAAATATGTCTCAAAACTCTGACAATGTTAATTAAAGAAAGCACTGATCAACGATACGGCTGTGCTTATATACAGTTTTGGAAACTCAGCTCCTCCTGGAATATTATCATAACCCCTGGGGCCAATAGTATTTCTACAATGATGTCATTTACCATAGATGCATATGTTATTTCAGTGTAAAACATATTAACTTTCCTGACAGTGGTATTAAAAAAATTAAACTCTTTGCACGGAATTGTACCAACAACTTTACGAAAGTATTAGTAATGGTAAGACTTCCACCCGTGTCGCCCCTCAAAATATATATTATGAAAAGAATTGAGCGGCAATGAATACGCATATATAACTTTTGGAGAGGGGATACGGGCGGAAATCTTTCCATTTTAAAGAAGTAAATGTCATTCGATTTAAGCTATTTGATGCATAATGACTGTTAGAAGTGTTAGTCATAATTACTGAATTATGGATAACTTACTAGCTGCTTATTGGAGGGTCGCAGATGTGGGTCTTTCTTAAACACTAAGCATAGTCCTTATTATCTTATTGATTGTAGATATAGAACAGTTTGTTGTCTATACAGATTTTTTTAGGTGGGCCAACATTTTAAAAACTTAGTAAATCTACTAGTCTTCCGTTTTAAAATTAAATACCATCACAGTAAGTAAACACAAACACATTCTGAAGATTTAACAATTTTATATTCATTCATAACGAAACAAAAAGAATCAACATATAATTTTATCCAAACATGTGTGTGGTCTAGAGCTACTGCATCTCCATGTGACATCAGTAGCAATATAACAATGATATTCACTTAATTTAGTATTTATTATTTTATCAAAATTTACCACTTGCAACAATATTGTTAGTTATCACAATAACAGTTTTTTAATGGGAACTCTGTTTCATTTTATCTTGAACTCTATTGTAAGGCAAATATATTTATGAAACACTCACCCACACATGATATTTATGTCACAGTTAGTTGCACCCTGTACGCTCTCGATAATCTCAGTTATATCATCTAGCGTACAAAATCTAAAAATAAAATACAAGCTTCAAATAAGCAAACATGAAACATCTCGTAAAGTTATTTTCTTGCCTTGTTCAATGAATTTGGATAGACAAGCTTCCACGTTTAATCATTCACTCGATAGAACATGTGATATTTGTTAATTCCTACTGCCACATCATTAAAACTTCACGTCTGAACAGGTTGTCCTTAGTTCCTGTGCGCACAATCACTGTTTGTTTATTTGTTGTTTAACGCCGAACAGCAATATTCCAACTAAATACTTGAGTCTGGACCAGACTAACCAGATATTGATATCATGAGCATCGATTCACGTAATTGAGATACGATGACATGCATCAAGCAAGTCATCGAGCCTGACCACCCGATCCCGTTTGTCACCTCTTATGACAACGTGTTTTCAGTGGTCTTTGCTTTTCCGGAACAACCGTAACCCATGGACTGTGAGTACAATAAGTACCCGTCCTTGCCTGATATTTGTACGTTTTTGAGGTATTATGTAAAAGAAAATGAGGTCATGGACAATGTTTGTTCTGGATTATGATATGTATCCGGTGAACTTTTTGTCCTTTGAAGCTATCGTTGAATAGCAACTCATATATTATTACTGCCTATTGAGTGCTCATGATGTCGTAATCTACTGGATTAAATATGGGTTGTTTCTATGGGCGCATTGAATCAACAATTCCAAAGCGAAGAGCCATGAGGATGTCAGAATGCCTTAGTTTTCGCCTGGGTATTTTAACGTGAGATGTGACAGTTGAGCACAAAAAATACTTACAATTATGTAGACTTGGCAGTGCAATAGCAATGACTTTATAACCTCCTGTTAAATAAATTGTCGAGGTCCAAATTCTACAATCTTAATCATATTACTTTGAGATGAAACGATGAAAAATCGTTCCGAATAGTCATATATCAAATACAAGTACTGAGTCTCAGATGATGGGAACAGTAACGTGATCTTTATTTGCAATTTAGAGATTGGTTAGAGTTAATTTTATACCATTATTTGGTTAGGGTTTTATTACCATTGCAAAAAAAAACAATGTCCTTTGCGAGTTTTAAAACACCAACCTTTATCCTGAATCCAATAACACACATTACGTCAACAAAATGAGACAGAAACGATTCCGTAATCCCCCAAAAATTATACGAGCGAACTATTCCGACTATGTCATAAGCAGGTTTTGCGTGAATCACTACGAAAAAGTGATGTAACCAGGCTTTTTCGATACGGTGAGCGTATCCTGCCAACCTCCATCGAAGATCTGGGTTCGATTCCCGACATGGGTACAATGTGTGAAGCCAATTTCGCCGCGATATTGCTGGAATATTGCTAAAAGGCGGCATAAAACAATACTCACTCATTAACTGCAATAAACATTTTGAAATCTATTCGACAGGGATACCGTTAGTTACATAATGATTGAGCTATTGCTCTTCGAAGACTACTCTTCAGAAGTAAACCATGCAGACATATACACAAAGGTACATAGCTGCAGGTGAAGCATACATTTAACATACCTGACTGTGTATTTAATGTAGCATGGACTGAAGCACTTCATGTGTGCGCAAGACAACGCAAACTGATTCAGACGATAAAGGGTTGGCGTTTCATCATGAAATAGCTGTAGGGAAGAAATGAATAAAGAAAGACATCTCAAGTGTGATCATCTAATGCCTCCTTCATCAAACATTAGCAATGTGGTGTGTTGTTTTGACGACCCTCCTCCTATGCTTAGGAGGAACACGAGCCGCTTTCTTTGGGGACCGTATGCAAGCAATCAAAGGTAGTCTTTTTTTAATTCGTTTCATACTTCGTTGCTGGAGATTGTTCTCAATATGAACAAACATTTATGGAGATGGATGGTTATTGATGAACATAACATTCTGTATCTGAAAGGACATATTTAGTCTACATGTGATCATTGGTGTCACCTAATACCAACCGAATCAAGATTTTATACTGATTCCAGATAATACGTCTGCTGACATCGCATTTAACTTTGCAATTGTGGTGTAGGTTAATTCTCCCCTTCATGTGCACGTTAGGTATGGCATAGTCGTTTTGAGACATATATGTGTAAATTTTCCTTTTGAAACCCTACGATTACGTGACTTCTCTAAATGCAAATATGAGCAGGTTTATGTCCAGACTTTGTGTAAAGTGTTTGCAAAATGGCTATTTTATTCTTACGAAATCCCTTTTTTTTTATCCTATAAAACGTAGTAGAATATTGTGAACTGTTTATTAATTGTGTCCAGATAGCACGTCCATGAACTACAAATGCGTAAAGAGGCACATGCTCAACGAAAGGTAAAGTCGATCCGGTTAGTAATCTGCCCAGAAATCAACAACTTTCGTGAACACTTGACTCTCTTTTTTTATGAGTTTGTGTCTGGTGTCAACCGTGCCGCAAGATACAATTACCCTTCCTCGAATCGAACACCCGGTGTCACTGTTTGATAGTTATCCATACAGACAGACTATGCTTTCAGAAGAGATTTCATTTTGATAGTGGAAATTGTTTTGTCGCTTGTACATGTATTTACATTTTCACAAGATGTTAAAGTCGTTAAATCCTTGTCCAAATATAAAATGTCAACTCCAGAGCATGATTCGTCTCCATTATCAACAGAAACAGATTCCATTGGGTATAAAAGTCAAAATACCGGTGAATATTACAAAATTTGATATTGAAAACTAGAGAACACACCAGGTGCTCGCGAAAACGGTAAGCATGTCCTGCCCTACCCGTACAATCCGCCACTCACAATTGTATACTGGTATCTATTGCCTGATGCTGCATTCCAGGACTCCAGCCAGGCGGTGGCGACCTGTAATCACCTTAAACATTTAAGCATTAAATTGACAAATTGATTTTTAGTTTGTGCTTGATAACCAGATATGTGATAAGATGTAACTGCATCTGTTAGTATCTGCACCTTTAACTACATCAATATATGTGACTGTATCTGTAGTTGTAACTGCAACAATATACATGTGTGTGACTGCAACTGTACCATAATTTATCCTTATCTGTAATTGTATCTATGATAGTGTATGGAACTCTATAAAAGCAATGTGTTTATTTATCCATGGTTTGGTTTGTTTGTTGTTTAACGCCGCACTCAGCAGTATTCCAGCTATATGACGGCCTTTATCCATGACTGTATCTTGAACTATATTTGTATTTTTATCTGTATGTGTGTCTGTGACTCGATAAGAGCCTGTATCAGTATCTATAGCTGTACATGTAGCTATATCTGCATAATGACATGTATCAGTATCTGTGTCTGTGTATTTATCCATATCTGTAACTGTATTTATCCATATCTGTAACTGTATTTGTATCCGGTTCCGTATCTGTATGCAACAATTGCTGTAACGGTATTAGAATTTGTACCGCCATGTGGCAGTATATATTGTAAGTTTTTTGGTTTTTTTACTGTAAGTGGTAGCAAATTGAATGAAACATTAAAAATATGTCAAGTATTCTTGGTCTATGGCGATAACTCCACGGCTGCTCGCTTAAATTAGAGCGACTTCCCTTTGTTGGTTTACAGTCCAAACTCTATCCCAGCGCTAGACACCTTCTTTATTACCCTCCCGGTATTGAGAACTCCTTTGTGAGGAGCTTGATTACAGTTGTTGCTTTCTTCCGGGACTGACTGCTTCGTTCGAGGATCTTCGCAAGGGAACAGTTTCCCAAAGGCCAACCATACATGTACCCATATACATGTAAGTGCAAGAGGAGGTCGCTCTACTTATATACGTGCCATTAAGATACCATTCTGAAATCACCGACTTTTCTGTCTGTTTCCAACGTGGGTTCCTGAACTCAATAACGGAGCTCGTGCCTGATTCAAGACATTCGATTGTTACAAATCCTTGACATTCGTGAGTGCACTAACTCATGTAATACGTTTTCGAATTCTTTTAGTTTGGATAATGTGGTTGTTGTTTGTTGTTTAACGCCGCACTCAACCATATTCCAGCTTTATGTCGGCAGTCTGTAAATAATCGAGTCTGGACCAGACAATCCAGTAATCGATCTACGTCATTGGGACATGACATGCATCAACTAAGTAACCTGATCCCGTTAGTCGCCTCTTACGCAAATAGGATATTCCATAAGTCGAGTGAAATATCAAGTTTCTCTCATCTCGTGACGGGGGAAAATGAGATATTATCTTCTTCTTATCGTCTGTATGCAGAGTCGAAAAATCTACTGCAATTGCAAATAACCGATATCTTAACTACATACAGAAATGGAAATCACTTGCAGATAACATTTCATGATATATCAACGATATGATTATGTGAGTCTGTTGCAATATGTTCTAAACTAATGTGCATTGTCCATTTCAACCTTAATTTGTTTGATAAAAAGCCGAACATGTATCACATGTATATTAAATGTAACCTATCAGTGTTTTAATTATTCATTGATCTTGTATGGTTATTTACTCATTAGCACCATTTAGTTTTGTACATACTGATTTCTAGGTCAACGTACTCGTTTCGAATCAACACGTAACATTATCCATAAATGTGACTTTAACTGTTACTTTTTGTATATCCGCATCTGCACCTGCATTTGTACATGTAACTGAAAATGTAACTGTATCTATATTTGTTAAAGAAACTGTATAAGTATCGTATTTGTATCATCTGCAACTGTATATGTGTGTCTGCATTTCAGTAAAACTGTTCTTTCCTTCATTATGCCACTCCCATTGTTTTGTAATGTTTCATTAGAAGTACGTGTGCTCTAAGAACACTCGTGACACACATCTTTTCAGAACTTTCATGGTTGACTACGATGCCGATGAAATCAGACAAGACAGGACCAAACAATGGGTCAACAGACATGCCTGAGGAACTCCATCTGATGCTCCATACACTCGAGGAGACAATGGAACTGAAGCTGACTCTCAGTCCAGTCAACACAGTCAACATGCCTGTGTACAGCATTAAGAACACTGGAGGCCACTATACATCAACATATACTGAGGCGATAAACGAAGTGAGTTTAGATTATAGAAAACAATGGTAACAAGATTATCGAATACAATGGTAACAAGGAGGGGTAATAAAATTTGAATTTCATCTGAAAGAGGTATGTGCATAATCATTAACAACACGGGCATGATGAAACCATGGTCCCGTGGTGAGAGTTCCATAGTCCCTTTGTTCTAAAGATCTGCCTCTCCTCAGGTTCCAGTCACATTCTGTTCCGTTGTTTGCCAGTATTCAAGTAAGGATGTTGCTTTTCCGCTCACATCATGCATAACACATCAACTTGTTCAATCATGGGTCAATTACAAAATACACGGGAAAGAATTTTCGCAATCTCTCTTTATCATGGCCAAACTTTTTAGATACGTTCTCTCAATTAAATAAAGGTCAACCTTTAGCTGTCGCGACCTTGCTTAAAGAAGATGAGGGTAACTTGGTACTTGGGATGCAAGCGTGACATGTCAAAAGCGAGGTCCGCAAATTTGCTTTGTTTTTCCTGAATCTTGTCAATAACAATGTTATTGTTGTTGTTATTATTATTATTATTATTATTATAGTGTATACATTATATAAATTATGTCTAATAAAAGACATTGGCAAAAAACTCTACATTGCTTTAATTTTCATATTCCTCTACGAAGGCCCTCTGTCGGGTATGTTCATGTAAAGGTGATTTTATCCAAACCTCCTCATCTTAATCGTTTACTGACGAAGACGATGGTCTTGTTTGTGGGCCTGGCTCCTTTAATATTTTAAATATAACCTTGGTATGTACTTTAGGACGTTCTTCCCACTGTTTGCATATTCATCGTTTCAGAACTGTGGGTTATACAGAAATATGAAATACCATGGAGCATTTGTGTGTCGACTAGATGAGGATGGTCAGTTTGATATTGTAAGTATTCTACCAGCCATAATTTGTGTCAAACCCATCCCATATTACATATCCATTTTTGAAAAGGATTGTTGTCAGAAATCGAAACATCTAATTGATATAACCTTTAGGTCACACTGTTGATCGGTTATTTTAAATGCCGTTGAATTGATTATTGCCCACGCCATTGTGTACTGCCATTGTAATTACTTGGCAGTAAGCTGTATTGATGTGTAAATGTACTTCATGTTATGTTACGATTGTTACTTGTTTACCAATCCTTTGTTGATGCTTTTGGTTTCACACTGAATTCTTTTCTGTATAGATTTCTGCGTAAACAGTTTGTTTCAATTTGGAAGTGTTTATGAATCACTATGAAATAGCTATGATACCAGGTGTCATAACGGTGGCACTCGCCACAAAGACATGCTAAGGCAAGTCTAATGTTCACCGACCCGTGAAGATTCCGGGGTAGAATAGGTCTTCAGCAACCCATGCTTGCCGTTAAAGTTAAAGAAAGTTAAAGTCATCCCTCTTGTCATAAAGTTTTCTGGAGATTTTTTGTCACACTGAATTAGAGGAATAGACCAAAATATATTTTTTGCTGTCTTATATCATGTACCTGTTGAAAAAAACGGGGGGATATAGCGGTCAGCATGTCCGCCATACAGGTCAGTCTAGTGGTGAACTGGTGCGTTCTTGAGGATTGGGGATATTGAAAGATACTAACTAACATAACGTTTAAATTTCCTTCATTTTACTAAAGGTATCAAATGGCAATGAAACCAAAGTGAGGTATAAATAGCAAAAGTCTATTTATATATTTAATCTTCTGATGACTCTAATTTTTGTGAGACTTACTTTGTATTGTCACTGGACAGGAGCTTTCGGTCCCAGTATTGTGACCAGATAATTGCGTATTCTGTTTGAAATGAAAGATGAGTTAAAATATTATTATACCTACTTTGTTATTCTACGACGAAAAATTTTTCACAGGTGGAAGTGTGTATAATAATCTCATAAATTAAGGGGGCGGTCAGGTAGCCTAGTGGTTCGATTCCCGACATGGGTACAATGTGTGAAGCCCATTTCTGGTGTCCCCCGCCGTGCTATTGCTGGAATATTGCTAAAATCGGCGTAAAACGATACTCACTCACTCACTCATAAATTAAGCTTTTGAAATAAGTTAACCCTGAACAGAACCGCCTGTTGTGTTGCGGATGGAACGCCTGCTCGGAATGATGAAGGTCGGTGGTTCGATCCCCTTCCCGCTTCATACCAACAGATGTTATAAGATGTTATCCTCTAGAAGTTAACCTGCCTGCCGCTCGGATATGAAACCAGGAATGGTCGGCTCAGGGCCAGCATTTCCTGTCTGGGTTGGATATTCATGTCCAAATGTCAGAGTTAAATCCCAGTTTCATGTCTAAATACTCATAAATGTGTGATAAAATATTATTTCTGAAGAAAGGTCTATGTACAACAAGTGATATATTAATGAATTTACAACGTAAATCTTACTGCATGTGAAATGTCAATGTTGTGTAAAGTTCTTCTTCAAACACTTCACAGATGGGCACAATGCTAATTCGTGGACATCAGTACCGCTTGTGGCCAGCAGATACGAACAGTGCTGGCAAAGCACATATCCACGTTATGAGAAGTATAAAGGAAACTGAAGAAGGCGCAACAGATTTCATTATAAGAAATAACTCGAAGATACTTAATGGTAAATACATGTATGTGACGAGAGGGAGGAAAAATATGCCCGTTCAACTTCTTGACGTACATTGTATGCATAACGATTAGCTCTGGCACTGTTGTATAGTCCGCAACATGAACATCATACATGTGAGTAAGTGAGTGAGTGAGTGAGTGGGAGTATACTCTGCGTTTATGGGGCCTTTACGCATGATGGCGACCTTTGTGCCTCCCGTGTGCCACTATACAATTTGCCAGGTCGTCGTTGGAGGCTCAAGGGAGGCAGAATGGTTGCCTAGGTCGTTCCAAGGTGGTACATAGGAGGTTCAGACATCGCCATGGACGCCATGGTCGCCGTGAATTTTTGAACATGTTCAAAACAGTCGCACAAAGGTCGCCGAGGAGGTTGGTTACAGGTGGCTCAAAGGAGGCAGAAGGAAGGCACAAGCATTGCCGTTGTTGCAGAATGGAGGCACAGTTGTCGCCCAATGGTCGCCAGGTAATAGAAGCGTTCTGCTGAAATATTTTCCCGTCAATCTGGGCGATGCTTTTGCCATTTTTCCTGCCTCCTTTGGGCGACCAACAGCGCGCATTGAACGATGGCTGTGGCGACCGCCGTGCCTCCATTCGGCGACCAAGGCAACCCTTGAGACACCATTGCAATGCTTCTGCCTCTTTTCTGCCTCCTTTGAGCTACCTGTAGTGCCTTCTCAGTCTACCTGTGAATAGAGGGCTTGTACCTTCAGAGTTTCATTGTGGTTGCAGACGTTGAATAACTCGAGCAGTTACTGCTGAACAACTGCTGGATCAGTTACAAAGAAACATAATTTTCTGGGTTTATGCGACCATTGAGGGCCCTGGCAAGTTTTTGATCGCTCAAAGGTGGCACAAAGGTCGCAGCGCTGTGTAAAGCAATATTCAAGCAGTATTACGGCAGGGGTCGCACGAAATGGGCTCCACATATTGTTGTCATATGGTAAATTATACAGCAGCCGGCTTTCAGTGTGATTAGCGAACGAGTCAACCACCAGGCTAACGCACCGCCCACTAGGTGTCCAAATGTCCTACAACAATACCAATATATTTAACATATTCTATAAATACAAAAGAATTTTGGGAAGCCACTTACATCAGTAATGTTACTATGAATGCCCCAGTCAATGACTCTGATCATGATATAGATAATAACCTACTTACCTGTTAATATCCCTGAGGCCAAGATGTGTTTAAAAGATGCATGGGTCATTGGACTCGCACTTCAAAGAATTGTGATCTCAGCAAATTTATGTCTGTCAAATCATACGCACGCACGCACGCACGCACGTACGCACGCACGCACGCACGCACGCAAGCACTCACACACACATTTAGCTTGGGTTACACTAGTGGTTAAAAAGTTCGCTCGTCACGCCGAAGACCCTTGTTCTATTCTCCACATGGGTAAAATTATGAAGCTTTTTTTTGTCCCCTGCAGTGGTATACTATGCTGGATTATTCCTAAAGCGACGTAAAACTCCAAGTCTCTCTATCTTATTGCACCAGGATAGACCTTTCCCTTTGTTTCGTGGTAAATATACGTACATGTATCGAATTAAGGCACATGTACATCTATTTCAACGCTTTTTAAATATTATCTGTGTTCTCTTGAATCTCAGATTCTGAAAGCCACGCTAAACAGTATTTCATCAACTCTCTGAACGGGCCACTGAGAATGCAAATCTGCAGGGAATTGAATCTGTGTCTCCATTGCGACCAGCTCACGTTTGAACAGCATGGCTATATGTATATATATTTTTAGATGAGTTTTATAAACGACCTTTGTTACTTTGTTGTGGTTTAAGAGCAGATACAATTAAAAGTACCATTTCGGTACAATATAAATACACTGCCATGCCAGTTTGTTAACAGATTCTGTTTGAATAGAGACTGCGGCACATAATATAAAAGTATGACACATATACATACCAGATTATATTCTCTTATGTTTGGTTAATGTCGATGCACGTAACTTTCAGATGCGGACGCTGTCCCAATCCCGCCTTTGGCAGGAACCACACAGACCTACACAGTGGAACTTGTGATGCACACCGATAACAGAGATTACACAAAGTATGATACATGAGGACATTTACAACTGCAAAGTAGTAATCTTGATCAAGCTTTTTTTTGCATAATGATTCCTACACGTAACAAGTAACCTCCCCAAGTTTACCCGCCATTTGCACAACTCATTTAACCAATTTCGCGATATTATTGCGACTTTCGTTGTAGTTTCATGGCACTATCGCTGACGTTTCACGATACAGGTAAGGGACCTCTAAAATATATGTGTTGACATATGCAGATAGGTTACTCTGAGTTGATTACAAAGTCAAATATAGACTGATCATGATAATTGAGCTGAAGACTTTTTTTCTATGTAAAACAATCAGTCTTCAAAAACATATTTTCAGGCAAATGTATATTGAAATTACGTACAAGCACGTATAATATGTTTCATCATTGAGAAATATTATTTAATTAGGATACAAAACTAGCACCATAATATATATTCATTATATTTCTTTATAGCAAAAATGGATAGAATTATCATTAAACCTCCCGTATGTTATCAGAAATGAGCGGGCCACTGTAACTTGATGATACCCTCATATTGCTTGACGAGTGGCCATTATCACGCCCGATGTTAGGTGACGTCATAGGGTAGGATAGGTGACGTCACGTTCAATAGTGACGTCATCTGGTTTGTTCTATGGTTGTCCATATTTGTAAAAGTGGGTCAGTGACATTCGTGTTGATTGCAATAATTGTTTCAAAACCGACATTGTTATTTCTTTTAATTTGATAACAAATTCCATCCACTTTAGCTATTATAACGGTAACGTTCTTCTTCAGAGAGAGAGAGAGAGAGAGAGAGAGAGAGAGAGAGAGAGAGAGAGAGAGAGAGAGAGAGATTCATACATAAATGTTCGTTATCCTTCTGTTCTAGCTTCCAACAAAAGTTTGGTATAACGTCGGAAGCAGCAACGATTGATATGATGTCCCTTTGGTATTCAACGATTGCCGAATTTGTAAGACATGTCCCTAAAGATATCTTTGCATTCTGTTACAGTGTGGTTAAGTAAGAAATACATTTACTGTGTTTTCGGTGTATCCCTGGGGTGTTTAAATGTCAAGTAAGCACCAGAAGACTGGATTTGAGATATTCAAATTCCCGAAATACATTTTGAGATTTAAAAGAACAATTTGTCTTATTCATTTCCAGGTTACATTGACATACGGAACAGTCGTTGAGGATGATCCAGAAATAAACATCATTGTCAAGACTATAGGTCTTATTATAGCAAGGGTATGGTATTGTGCATGTAGTATGTTTTCTATTTTGATTTGCGACTTTCTTTGTAATATAAGGTGACAAGAATAAGAGTAAATATGAACAGAATATTAGCCCACGTTCATGCGTTAATATGCTCATTTAGATATTTAGCGCTCTGCAAAAGTGAGTAGTTGCTTACGACTTGATAACGTGTCTTGGCATCACAGAAGCATATATTCAGTTCCAGTTGCTACACAAATGATTAAATTACCAATGTAAGGTAATAACAAATTCGCCAACAACAGTTGCAGAGTAGTTCCCATTTAATACAAAGCACGGTACCGGTATTATATCTTGACCACTAAAAGGTACAAAACGTGTTTATGGACACAACCAGTGTCTTCTCTGGTCATTGATTCTAATTCAAGTTTGAAATTTGCTTAAAGTTCTGACAGAGTCAGATTTAATGTACTTATAACATATTCTACAAACATTAATACGCGCAGTGACGGACAAGGACTATATTAGTTAATTTTAAGTAAGTTTGCGAACAGGCCTGATCATTAAACATCCATATCAGGTTTGGATGACCAATAGAAATTTCCAACTACATTACTCTGAGACAAGGCTATTGATCTCTATGTAATGACGTACTAGTTTATCATGAAATTAAGTTTAAATTCCTGACAGTCCTCTAAATGGTGTAGGCACGTGCACATTTGTTTTATATATGTTTTATTTAATGGAGAAAAGGACCCCATATGGTGAGGCATCTACAAACTCGGATGCGGTGCTCACAAATTTAAATCGAGAACTTAATCACAATTATAACTTCCTGATACACATTCGGGAGGACAGGCGAAATGCATAATAGGCAATGTAGAGGGAGTATAAGCAATCAACATGCTAGCGTGATAGATTCGGTAATCTGTTTATCTGGGTTGTTTGACATATTATGTAACGTCAACGAGTATCACGTACTAAATCTTCACATTTTCCTGTACTGGCTAGCTTACGTACTTCTGTTAAGTGAGTGAGTATGGTTTAACGCCGCTTTAAGCAATATACCAGCAATATCGCGGCTGCAGACACCAGAAATGGGATTCACATATATTACCCATGTGAGGAATCCAACCCGGGTCTTCGGCGTGACGAACGAATGCTGAAACCACAAGGCTAACCCATCATAGTATTAAGAAGGCTTTCACATTTGTTTTGATCAACGATAAGGATAACGAATTTATGTCCAACTTCCTGAGCAGCGAATGCTTTTCTTTATTGGAAAAGAGTGGGTGCTTTTAACAAGTCAAGTCAACAGAGCTACACAGGAAAGAAAGTAAATATACATATTTAAACAAGTTTAATGAGTATAATGTGACTACAAATAACTCTAACAGTGTATGCAGAGAAAATAAAGTGATTTTGTTCAAATGGAACAGGACCATCTTCACCAGTGTATACGCGATTCTAAACAGTTTAGGGCCACTCTTAAAGGGGTAAGTTTTAATTGTTATCCACAAACCAATATTCCAATCGATGATTGGTTTAACCATTTCAGGGATCTATTTTCAACTTCTACAGAGAACGAGGAAAAATCGAATGCATTTCATAATTCATTTTGCCGGATATTCGTCATTCACCTATAATAAGAAAAGAAATTTCAGAAGCATCGCAAATATATAAACTAATAAAGCAGCTGTAGAAGATAATTTGATTCCTGAATTGTTTTAAATATCCATACGAAACTGATAGTATGGGGTCTAGAAAATAGAGAAGGTACATTTATTATATACATAAGTATGAAATATATAGATATATATAGAAAATATAAATGGTATTGTGAAATAAATTTGAAAAATGATATTTCACTGCAGTGAAAATATAAGCTTAATTTGAACCGGAACTACTTTCATCTCGAGTTACTTCCCCTTGATACAAAGGGACATAATTTCATGATTACCTCCCTTGGATCGTCTGCTAGCCAAAATGAGCGACAACATAGAGAGAGATGATGTGGATAATTTATTAACTGCAATAAAAAAATAAAAAAGTATCAATCTATCAGTGATGATGATGTTTCAAGGTTTCTTCGAGATCTGGAAAATAAAAACACAAGAAAGAAGACAGATAGAGACATTAGAATTATCAGTGAGTACCTAGTGATGGTTGAGGGGGAAACTAGAAAAATTGAAGATATCGATGCAGTATCTTTAGATTCCTATTTGTCAAGAATTTTTCTGTCAGTAAAAAAGAATGATGGATCAGAATATGAACCAGTCAGTCTAAAAAGCTACCAATCTTCCCTACTAAGATACTTGAAACAAATGGGTTCTACATTTAACATCATTTCCGATATCACATTTGCAAGATCTAGAGAAACACTCAAATGCAAACAAAAAGAACTTAAATCAATGGGTAAAGGCAACAAACCCAAGGTTGCTGAAGAGCTGTCAGATATGGATATTGATGCCATGTACGATGCCAAGACCCTCGGAAGTGATAACCCCCACAGCCTCCTTCACACCATGTGGATGATTTGTTGTCTGAACTTCGGCATGAGAACTGGAAAGGAAACCAGAAATTTACAATGGGGAGACATTGACAAAAGAAATGATGATGATGGATCCGAGTATCTTATCTTTATAAGTGAGCGACAAACAAAAACAAGACCTGATAATCCTAAAAATATACGGCAAATAAAACTAAGAGTCTATGCAACACCAGAAGACCTGGAAAGATGCCCTGTCAATGCATATAAATTGTACAGACAAAGACGACCACCAGCCTCTTGTACACCAGACAGTCCATTTTTTCTAGCAGTCAATAACAACAGGAAGGAACAGTCGTACTGGTACAAAAATGCCCCACTGGGTGTCAACAAGCTATATGGAATTATGAAGGCTATGACAGAAGGTGCTGACATAGCTGATGACAAAAGATTGACACCATACAGGTAAATATTCAATATCTATATTAGTTTTGGATAACACTTTAGTATAATATTGGGAAATACAATGACAATCAGCCATAAAGTAAGCCAAAATAAATTAGGTAATAAATATCAAATAAATGGCATGATATTGAATATACCTGAATCATTTGTTTGTTTTTTTCAGTATGAGGAAACACCTGGTCCAGAAGTTAACAGACAGCGGCGTTTCTCCCAATGACATCATTCAGAAATCTGGTGAGATGACAGCTGTAAACAAAATAAATTAGTTTATGAAATATTTTTTATTATATACATAAGTATGAAATATATAGATATTTAGTGAAAATATAAATGGTATTGTGAAATAAATTTGAGGAAACACCTGGTCAAGAAGTTAACAGACAGCGGCGTTTCTCCCAATGACATCATTCAGATATCTGGTGAGATGACAGCTGTAAACAAAAAAAAAGAATTCATGAAATATTTATACTACATATATTAAAACAACAAGAACAAATTTAGTTTCCTTTTTTAATATCAATGGTTAAAATGTGTTTGTATAAGTTAGTTAAATTCATTTTGTTGGTATTTTTAATATTATGAGAACATATATCGGTAAAGAAAATAAACATTTGAAAATTCTATTGGCCTCATCCTATAGACTTGTTGTTTAAGGACATTAAAGTAATGAAATACCAAATAAATAATAAAATACTCTTAAGAGAAATACAAATACCATTCATTCATATTTCAAAATATGGATAAAATGTTATTTTGAATTATTTTGTTTTCCAAATTTCAGGCCACATAAAAGTGTATTCGATAAATAATTACTCAAGTATGAATACTGAAAAGCAGAAGGGAATATCTCGCATTCTGTCAAACAGTAACACCGCCAGCAGCACAGTCACAACAGCTGATCGAAATCCGGACTCGGCACCAATGCAGGGTGGATTTGCGATGCAATCTGTGTCCAACCGCCTTCAGAATCAACATTTTCTGACAAGCTTGTTGTCTGGAAATACAATCAACGGAAATGTTAACATATGTCTATCACCTGACATGTTCAATGTATCAATGTCCTCCGAAAAACACACTGCAAATGCGACAACATCAAACACATGTGAAGACGAGTTACCACCATTGAAAAGACCATGCTTGCAATAGAATGACAAGATCATCTTGAAATATGGCATAAATAATTTTCGACATAAAATATTGACAACAAAATATGTTTGGACTTACCTTTTCACGTTCATATTCAGTGTTTGTTATATCCTTTTACGTTGTTGACTTTGTTGACAAAAGTTCAAACTTTCGAAGCGAAGCGAGTGTGCGACGTTGTTTTTCTCTGAACACTATCAGCTGACTATGGATTATTATGTATTCCTACGCATTGACGTTAGTGCGAATTATTGTTTGGACAATGAGTTGTATACAATAATAAATTAAGAAATTGATAAAATGCAAATTTGAGTAAATGTTTTTGATTCACATTTGAATTTTGTTTTCTTTGACAATTTGAAATAAGTATAAATTGAGTGAACTATTTACTTCATCGTAGTAAAAGCGACAGGTCGTATGTGAGCAGGTCACGACGCGAGAAATATCATCGTCGTTCTCGTAGTTGAAAGATCTGACTAAATTTCAATTTAAAATATGTAAAAATGGGAGATGTATATAATAAATAGACTACTTCATGCTTTTTTGTCGAATACGATTTATATTTCGTCTCGTGAAGCCTCACTCGACGAAATATAAATCGTATTCGACAAAAAGCATGAAGTAGCCTCTATCTACATGCATGTAAAATATATTTAGGTGTAAATCCCCACACTCCACATGTTACAGTTTATGGGGAATGTGGGAGATACCATATGTATATATTTAGTTACATGAAAGTAATACAATTTTGGATACATATGCTAAAAATGCCAGATTCCCAAAAGAAATGTCGTAACATGATGCCTCGGATGTAAAAAAGATACACAAATCATTTCATATATAATTTCAGACAAAAGTGGTACTCTTCTCTATGTTTCTACTATAAGTTAAATCAGTACTCCTCTTTTAAATCATTTATTCTCACTGAGGAATATATTTTAGATGTAAATGTTAAGAAATATCGGAGAGCACTCTCCCGTTTCTGATTTACTTCTCATGTTTTTCTAATGGAAAAGGGTAGACATTTAAGGGATTACCAATTCTTTGCTTGTTTGTCCATTGAATGCAAATATCAGAAACGAATGCACAAAGCAACATCATTATTTCAATCTTCTAATAGACAAATTTTATAGCCTCATGTTGTCTTCAAACAAAACAGTCACAAAGTATCTTGCAATGTATATATACCATGCAAATAACACCCGACCCTCCTCATTGTAGATGTGATATTATTTACGACATATTTATTCCTATTGCACCCATTGGTACTGTATGAACTATAGACCTGTGGCCTTTTCAGTACTGAGACAGACAGACAGACTGACTGACTGACTGACTGACTGACTGACTGTCTGACTGTGACTGTGACTGTGACTGTGACTGTGACTGTGACTGACTGACTGACTGACTGATTTATTGATTTATTGATCCATTTCTTCTGTCCCCTGCCGTGGTATAGTATAGAGGCGGAAAGGCAGTACTCACTCAATCTCTCACTACCTTCGATGTTCATGGTCCTTTTACAGTTTTCTCGACGCCACGGCAGCTATAAATGCCTTCGCAACCTATAGTGATACGCTGATTAGACAGGGTGCTGTTCCAGGGGGCGATCACTCAATGGCCTTTTCAGGGTAGGTATATTTTGTTTTCACTTCGTGACTTCGCCTCTGATATGTAGTCTCGATCCGTGTCTAGATTGACAGTAACAGTCTGCAGCATTCTTAATTTACCTCAGAATATATTTGACACATCTTTATAATCACTTTGTTCAATGATCGGCCAATTGATCAGTGGTGGCTAACATTTGCAATCGCCACATGTTCATCAACAACATTGAAAATGAATTATTCATGATAATCATATCCGGTGTTCCAATCATCTATTAGGGGAACCGGCGACACATTCACCATGCCCCTGTGCCTTGATATGAAAGCAGACAATATCATGATGTATGTAACGTCATATGAGTCGAAGATGAAAAATGAATTATTTGAATAATACAGAGGATACAGGGACTTATAATATTAACGCTTTTGGTTAAAATATATGTTAATGTCTTGACTGTTTGTCAAAGTAGTTGCATGTTGATAACGTGATAAATAAAATGTTATTGAATATATATATATACAAAGTTATTGAACACATTAGTAGCGTTATAATGATAACACATATTAGTGACCATTTATAATGTTTTGCTGTAGGTACGACCTGTGGACGACTGACGGCGGCTCAAGAAACCTTGGTAAGTAAATACAAAATATTTTAAAGATGTTTTCTCCCACAATACATGCCTGCTGATGCATTCTTGACATGATGCATGCACATGCTATCTTGAGGTCAGGCAGGAAACATCCTTATCATTGCGTGTGAAATACATCCATAGAGCACAAATGATGTGACCAATTTGCAAATTTTACTTTGCCTTACACTAAACACCAACGGTGATTGCAGAATGTGCCAAAACAGTTTTCCTTTTGATTTCCTTGTTTTCCAAAGGAAATTTTGAAAGATATACACGACACCCTACATTACTACATATATGTATTCTAATGACTGTATAGATCGTATAAATACACGCTGTATACGTATATTGAGAAGCAGATTATCGTAAATAGTGATGATATCATTCATATATCAGATGCGGAGCACGGTACAGATTAGAGCTGTTTAATCGCATAAGCACGCTGCACATCGAATACCATACATGGTAGTTATTAACAGGGCAGTGTTCATTTAAAGCATGAAATGGACATATTTGTAGTACAGACAGAAACGATTCAATGCCTGATGCAAAGAACAGTAAATATAATGGTAAGGACGGTGTACATTTACCACTCAATAGTTAAAAGAACGGTGTACATTTACCGCATGATGTAACACATTCGTTTTGTAAGGACAGTGGACATTTACCGCATAAAACAGACGCGAGTTATGATAAGGATGGCGAACATTAACCGGATGATACAGATAATAGTTATGATAAGGACGGTTTTTATTTACCGCATGTCAGAGACACCATTTATTGTGAGGACGGAGCCCATTTTACTGCATAACATAGATGACAAGGACGGTGTACAGTTACCACATAATTATACCATCTTCCAGAGCAGGAGAGTCCACAAACCAATATCAAAGCCTACTTTCTACCCTTGCCGACTTTCCTTTGCTCGACCAGGGCGTAAAACCACGTGTAGAACACACGTTATGTCCCTTGTGATGAAAACGCGATATCCAATCAGATCGCTGTTCTTATTTCAAATGGCTTCACAAAGATGACTATAGTCCTGTACCATGACCGTGGAACATATTTATTTTATGAAAAAAACATAATCTAGAAATGCATACAAAAGCAAGTCTAGCCAGCTCAAGCTAGCTCTAATCAGCATAGGGATTTTTATTTTTATTTTTAGAGTCAAGAAGGATATTGTGTAATATAAGATTTCAGAGACTAAATGTTAGTCTAAGATGACTACCAAAGCAGACGACCTGGCCTGATAACGAAATTATTTGAGATGTCATCCCTGACTGACATAAGGCCACATGGGCAATAGTTCAGCAATATCGTGACAACCCCAGTAAAGATACATATTTCTTATTATAGCTACCACACTTGACCGTACTGGTAGCGGTCAGGGCTACATCAAGTGTTACTGTACTGGTCAATGCTCAACCAAAGAATGCCAAATGTTACAACATATGTTTTTTAGGTATTGTTATAGTTATCTGAACTTTGGCCCTTTACATTTCACTCTTAGCCATTGATGTTTTCTTTTTTATATTGTCATTATAATATAAGGTATTTTCAGTTATTTTTATATTAGTCTGTGTGTCATCCAATCTATGGAGGTGTGGTATTTTAGAAGTTAGGCTTGTATTATATTATCATTTAAACAAATACCCTAATTTTACAATAAAAGACATGTGTTCAACAACAGAAGTCGTTGTACACTCTAGGAAAAACGCAAGCAGAGCCGCAGTAGGCCAGTTCCTTAAATAACGCACGGCACATATACGAGTTTAAAAAAATAAGACTGAACCCAGTCTTTATGCGCGAGTCACTTTTTAAATTATCTATAATATATCACGCTATTTCGAGCAAATGTTGTGATTCAAATTCAACATTACAATACCAAGTGATATTTTATCTTTTGCAAGTGGACAGGCAACATAAAAATGATTTGTAATTTGCGAAGACATTATGCAAACACAGTAAGGGTATCACTTCCTATAACTGTACGTGTAGACCTCTGCGACTTTTCACGAATATGAGACAATTTATTTTATAACATACTTCAGTCTTAAAGACTGATTTTTCCGAAGTTGAGAAAAGTGATATTTTCATTGCAACGAACATAACACTTGCTATTTCACTGTTGTGATCAAAACACTTTGACGGAACTATTGTCATACAAGAGTTACCTCCCCTCAATTTGTCTCCCTTTATCATACGTGTCTGGCCCGTACACGAACTGTTCACTTCCTTATTACGTTTGTTCAATATTGACAAGGTAATACAATGACTGACTGTCATTTATGGAGTTAATATCGCTTCATGTCGTTTGTTTCGCCATAAATTGTACATTTCCCATTTAATTCGTCATTCGAGACTGTTCGTTTCGCAGAGCGACATTTTTGTTACTTGACCACCGTGTATTCTTTCGCTACCAACAGCGGTCTCGTAGTTTCCGAGAATATCATATCTATATGTTTGATACAGAATATCGTGACCCTAAATACTTTTTGTTACTATTTTTATATTTATTGAGAATTTGCAAACACGAAACTACTTTTTAGTAGCAAATACTAGGGGTGGTGAATCGTCCCTTGGTGTTAGGTAGGGAGAATTTACGTTTTAAGGTTTTACATTTGTAATGAAATAATTTTACTTTCCGATGGATAACTACACAAAAAGTATATAATGAATAGGATATTCATGTGTCTCGTGAAATATCATGTTTCTTTCATCTCTTGATGTGGAAAAGGAGATTTCACTCGACACACGAAATATCCTCAATTTATTTAGTCGGTGGCTGAAAAACTTAGAAACCGTTACTGAGGACACAGTTCGTGCACATCCCTCACCGAAACGTGTCCCAAATGGCGGAAGAGTGTCCGGCAAACTGCATTCATACCTTGCCCTGTATCACTCTGAAGGGATGTGGGACATCTTACTATATTTCGCAACGAAATAGGAATGTAATCAGTGGGCAAACTCTTAACAAACGTGATGCCTCATTCATTGGTTTCAGACGCTGGCCCGAGTAGACACTGGGACGAGTGACCGCGGAGACCCGCTTAGTTGCCTTATAAATTGTAATAACTTTCCTTTGATAAAGGGCAATAACTCAAACCGGCTGTTAGGCCACTGACTAAAAACAAGTTTGAGTTGGAACTATATTTTCTGTTGTCACTATCCGACTGACTAAACACTGACCTTATGACGCAATAGATGAAAAGCACATTCTAGGAAAAGTTGAAATGTTTTGGAACCATTTGTGACGAAAGAATTTAGGAATAGCATTATATTCTAATGATGTTATAACACTTGTGAGTTTGGGATGAAAACATCCTGTAGTAGGAATAAACACTGAATATGTATTTAGCTCACCACGGCTCACTTATTACAATGCTTGTTCATAATACATCATTCGTGAAAACATGTGATCCCAGATGGCAAAATACTTAACCAGTTGCTTCACTTGGCCTACTCTAACCCAAAATGGGGCCCATGTGCACATGCTGGCGGGGCAGAGAATAACCATTTCCGCAATTATCCCGAAACAGATTCCATTGGGCATGGAAGGCAAAATAATGACTATAACTTTGAGAATGCATCCCTTAAAATCATTGATGACACTAAGTGTTCGCGAAAAGGATAATTATATGTAAATATTTGGGTGTTGTAAACTTTTAACTATAATGTACACAAAAGTTATGAAAAGGATGGTGTACACTCACCGCATAATACAGAGATATTTGTAGTACAAACAGCGTATTCAGGCCACGAATTAGGCCACGTCCACCACAGATCTATTGTTTCCTGATAGGCTGATGACAGGATGAGCGTGACTTGGATTGCATTGACAGCACTGCAGATGTCACTGATTTCGTAGTGTTGTCTAGAATGTTTTATTAATGGTTACTTTAATCTGTTAACTTATTATTGTTCACTTATGTATTTATAAGATTTGCCTTTTATGAAAACTTTTGTTTTCAGGTTTAAGTGTTGGCATTTTTGGAGGTAATTACCACTTGGATTTTCACAGTGTGCACATCCGATTTTACCTTTCAGTACTTGCCCGTGAAGAGATCACCCGTTTAATAAACATACAGCTGTATTACACATTGTGTAATACCAAAACGCGTGCTTATGTACTCTCGGAACACGTTTCACGAACAAATATTGAAAGCTCTCAACATCCCTTGGCTTATTCAACGACACATTACGTGTGAAGATGATAGATCACTGAGAGGAGCTTATGCACACTCGATGACCCCAGCAACCTTGTTGCTAGACTGACGTCACATTGCATTGTTTCCCAATGGATTTTCCAACAAAGTTCCACAAATTACGTCATCGGGTATTGTGGCGTGATTGTAAACTTTGAGGTGCAAGTCCCCGTTCCACAAGGCGATCGTATTGTAGCGCAACGAAGTCGTTAGTCTAAGTTAAAGAATGTGAGTTGCGATAACCTTAGCGCTACGATAATTTTGTTGAACGGGCGCCTTAATTCTAAAGGTGGACCTTTGTATGGTAGTAAATTCATACGTTTCAACTTTTGACGTGTTTGAAGTATTATTCTGTTAAACTCAATTGGATTATGCAGTTGGTCGTGTCGGTGTCAGCCTATTTACACTCAACAGTATAATTCTAAAAATGTTATAAATGGCAAATAATAGATAAACTACTAAACTCGCCCCCGTGTAAAACCAATTTTATGAAACTCGTGAATAGTTGTGGTATCTGACTCACTTTCGCTCGTCAGACACCAGAACTACACTCGTTTAATAAAATTGGTATTACACGGGAGCTCGTTTAGTATTCTATATATATAAAGCAAATCGTATTAAAGGCAATTCTTAAATGGGATAATGGGTCAGATTACATTATATAAGATTCACCGTGTAATACAGGCGCTTGCAGAGAAGGCAATGCACATATTTCTTTTACTTTAAGATTTATATATCCTTTTCAGGTATCGCATAATTTACATTCATGACACAACATGCAAACACTAACCTAAACAGGGAATGCAGAGTAAGGTAAAACCAGTTTTCTTGTTTTCACGTGTTTTCCAAAAGAGATAAACGAAACCTGACATAACTACATACAGGTAATGTATGAATACATAGTTCGTATCGTGGTAACTGAAAAGTAAAATATGTCCGCATATTGAAGCAGGTTCTCGAAATTATTGTAATGTCACTGATATATCAGGTGCAGAGCTATCGCGCAGTGCACGGTGAAGATGAAATAAATATTGTCGCATAAGTGCGGTGTACATTCACCGAATAATACGCATGATAGTTATTCAAAAGACGGAGTACATTCACACCATAAAGGGAAATAGTACACCATATTTATTCCTATTGTTGCCTGTCTACCCTGTCTTTTCTAGAGCTATCATTCGTAACAGGCAAGTAATATCCATCACAGAATACAGACGATAGTTACTTTCAGGACAGTTTACATTCACTGCCGATCTTGCAAGTTATACCATGGCATTTGACTGGCACACCAAGTAATTTGTTTTGCGTTCATGTAGCAATAACCCGAAAAAGATTTAGGCCAGGCCAACTGATGGTTTACCAATTTGCGAATTATAGGTTGGGCGGGGCTTGGGTTGAATTATTGCGCTGATGCAACTGCTTCCGGATTATTGTCTAGTGTTTTGGTGTGTAAATGATAACTTACATTTTGATTACATAAGCAGTATGTGGAGTTATTATTATTTGCGTATTTAGTTAGAAATTCTGACTTAATTGTGTTTTTTATGTTTACAGAGTGAGGTATGCACTCTTTGGGTAAATCCGCTATTTTACGGTGGTGCCTCCAAAAACGAAAACAAAACTGATGTCAATTTTAAAACAGAATGTGGGTTGGGTTGGGTTGGTTTGGAATAGGCTAGGTGCACCGTTTATTACATACAATAACTGTAGAGAGGACAATGCACATATTTCTATTACTTGTGATTTTTACATTCCTTTCAGGTCTCGCCTATGTTGATGCTCTGTGTGGATCGTTTTCTGTTTCCGTTAATGAGAATCAGTTCGTCGGCTGGGAAAGCAAAATTGCAGGACATGAGCTTGGACATAGGTACTACTAGTATCTTTTAGTATACATCACCTTCCTATGTTTCATGTTTCCTATAGTCTGCCTCGTTAAAGCCCCATTTGTTTCAGTTCACGAAGCTAATTAAGCTAATATGCTGATATACACCTGGAAAATAATACCGCTGGTTATGTGTATTCATATTCTTTTCAAAAAAAGTACCCTGTATTCATTTTAGATGAAACGCATTTGTTTGTGTTTACAAAGAGACCTACTCAAATTGAAATGCAGAAACTGAAATTGATTATGAATGTGACATGTTTTATAACTAGTCCATGCTAATAGTAAGTTGGTACCCTTTCTAATTGCTTCCTTTGAATCTTCGTATCATATGCTATGACTCTTTGAGACCATCTGGAGGAACATCAGTGTTCTTCTACCTATCGTGTGTCAGTCGTTCCTTAGACAAAATGAAGCAAATGTCGTATTTATTCCAAAAATATACATCGAAGTTTAGAATATATAAAACTAAAGGAGTGATGTGAAACTACTACCTGCGGAATATATGATATTGTTATGTATATGTTACAGTCAATATTCAGGCAATTAGTACACTCTTCAAAAACAAGAAACGCACAGGTAGTATATATATGTAGTTCAGTTAACCTGACTCCACAAAAATCCGGTATATAATTTGAATAAATGTTATTGGAAAATGTTGATGGCCTGATATTCGACAAACGGTGCGTAAAAACGCAATCATTGTTGATTTGCAATGTCTTAAACGGCATAGTTTTCTCACTTGTTCAAAAATGTCATGGAGGAAAACAGTAAAGCAAAATGCACGTGAAAGTTATGGCATTCGTAACTCTTGGTAGAGGCTATAAAAAAGGCAAGCATAAGACAATAATTTGTCATTCAATTGTCAACATTTTTCAAGATAGAAAATGCCGAGACCAAGCGCTGCCGATCGGAACATCGCCATAAGAAGTATCCCAACAGGGAATCCCGAATCCCGATTTCCTCTTCACCGGGGAGATGGAAGAAATTTGCGTGTGTACGTTAATTCGACAATTTCGGTGGCGGTATGGGATGAACTCGATCGACGTGTATGTCAAAGTCAGGACACGCCGCAGACACTCCAACAACTGGCCAACGCGTTACAAGCAGAACGGCGCAGAGATCAGCAGGACAGAATTCGTACACATATCCAGTCAGTGCCGAGGAGATGCAAAGCTGTGATGCCCGGGGCAGTCACACGAGATACTGAGTTCATTGTGGCCTTATGTGACATGACAATGAGCAGTTTTCAATGCCTTTGTACAACGACAACGTGCGACTATCGAGCTCCAAAATTTCATATTTGTATCTATGATATTTAATTAAATATATGTTTCGTAGGTAAAATAAATTTACTAAAAATCTACCTGTGCGTTTCTTTTTTAAAGAGAGTATATTGTCTGAACTGAACTTAAAACCTAAACGCTTTAATATTTTCAAGCATTACAATGCAGACTGATATTCTTTTGCAATCCATGAACAAGTTATGTTATAAAAAACTTCACAACGTCAGAGAATAATCAGGTGGAAATATCTGCTAAAACAGATTTACAGGACGTGAGTTAGATGTAGAAAATATATGAATAGATCATTGAAAATCAGTGACGACAAGTGTTCGCAAAAAGTGTAAGCATGTTCTACCGCACAATTAGCACCAACTATAACACAATTTTCATGAAAAGATGTCAGTGCCAGCATGAGTAAGGAGGTGTGAAAATTCCATGTCAAGATCATCGCATGGCGTAGCAGCGTGCTTCATGTTGACAAGTGACATGACATATTCATTAAAATTCTGCTGATTAAGGACTTTGACAGAAAAGCTGATGGTATGTTGCTCCCCTCTTGACGTACAGCTTGGTGTGCACATTCGTTGTCGTTACTTCGAATTGATATGTACAGATCCAGAGTGGATACTGGATATATTTTCTCATTTCTTTATTTTATTTCCAACTCTGATATATAGATGAACTGATTTATCCTCATGCATTATCTGAGAAACTTGTATATTTATTTCAGCATTGGAGCTCTCCACGATAGCGAAGAGGGCTGCATGGATACAGATTTCTTTGTTATGGCTGCATTTGTTGTCATGCCAAATCAGATACCTGATTCGTTGCTGGATAACCTGTTTCGACTTTCACCATGCAGTATTACCAAGTTCAGAAGCACACTTTTGTATGTCTTGTTTAAATCACGTGTTATATGTGTTCAAAAGGTTTAAGTGTGCCATGTGTCACTCAGTCCATGTGATGTTGATACATACGCAGTGTCGGATTATGTTCCAATTGCTTTATAATCGGTCTAGATAACTGTAATAAACTATAACTTTTGGAGTAGGAGAACATAGAATATGTCACACTTGAAGAAATATCCCCAGCCCTATTTCCAAACATTCCAAACTTTCAAAACAAAAATACCACATTTCAAAACCTTGTATATATATAAATGTCTAACGAGTTGGGAAAGTTGTGAATAGGGGAAAATTGTCTTAGAAACATTGTGTAAAACATGTTTGAAGCCCTTTACTCTACTTTTGTATTTGTATTTAAAAGATAACATATAATAGCAACTGAGTAACTATTACTAAATAACTAGTTTACATCCTTGTCACATATGACTTCAGGTCTGCTCCATGTACTCTTCAAGATTCCAACATCCCCTCAACAGACCGTGGACCATCTGGTCAGCTCTTTGACGCTGATGCACAGTGTCGCGTGTTTTTGGGTCCAAATTCAAGGTTTTGCAGGGTAAATCTCTTTCTGTGATGACATGTTTGTAACATCTCCTATGTAGCGACAACTCCGTTTACAACAGCGAATTGTGGGTTTGGAAAAAAACTAAAAGTTAATTGTTATTCAAAATAAAAATAATAATAATAATAATAATAATAATAATACGTTTGTCGTCAAAGCAGTTTAGGTAATTTATTGAATTTGCTATGATAAGCAGAACATGACCGATAATCTTTGAACTAAATTAATTCGCTAAAACAAAGCAATTTACCGGCATCATCGCTTTTCGTTACATGATTGCAACATGTAGAGAACGGTATAATTATGCCATTGAAAGCAAACTAGAAATATGTCTACGTGGTACTATTGGGGCTTATGAAATAACTATATTACATGATAGTTGCCATTAACCTTCTTTTGACTTAATTAACAATGATGTTTTTGCAGAACAAACAGGGTGGGAATGTGATACCCGAAAGAACAAGGCGATATCAGCGTCATTTCGATTGAAATTCCCGTATTTTAACATAAATTTATAATCATGGTTTTTTTTATCTTGATACTTTTGTGTGCTGTGATGCCTCTTAGCAATTTCAAAATGTCTGAAACATCAACGCGATCATGAGGTGAGGTGAGGTGAAATGGGGTTTAACGTCGCGTCCAAGATTATTGCACTTATATAGCGACGTGAATGTACGTGTGTGGCGTTTGTGTGGCTGCTTGTACTAGTCCGGACTGATGCCGATTTATAGTGCCGCAGTTTAACATGAATACCCCACTCAAACACAGTGTACTGACTCCGAGCCGACCAGTCCTTGTTTTAGCCCCTTAATGCCGAGCGCCAGACAGGGTAACAACAAGTTCCATCTTACAACGTCTTTTGGTTTGACGCAGTCGGGGATCCAACCCCGGACCTTCCGCTCTCCGGGCGGACGCTCCACCACTAGACCACGGAGTCGGTCACGCGATTATGAAATGAAAATCCTTTTGCATTCTTTAGTTATTGATTATTTTATTAATTATTTAGATTTACATTTGAAAATGGCGTATTCGACGTAATAAGCGCCCACGGCGATATTTGCTAATATATTGGCAAGTGAACAATCCCAATTAGCACCCCTTCCAACTGATCAATGTACACAAGACTTATTTATTCGCGTATAATACACACTCGTGTGTCATATGCACCCTTAATTATGGGCAATTTAATTCTTGAAAAATATATCTGTCGTACATAAACATTTCAGGCTGTCAGCATAAACCACGAAATTTATCTTTCAACTCTGTTTTTTTTTTACCAAAATAATATTCTAATGAGAGCCCCCTATTCCTAATTTTGAGCGCTTATTACGTTGAATACGGTAAATAAAATTTCGACCTCGCGTCTTTTGGTATTATCTGTATCAACACATGCAAACCTTCCAGGCATGTTCGGCTGGCTCAATTTCACATCGAAAGAGACTGAGATTCACAATGGCTCCAGTGAATAGGATTTACTGCACCATCATTTGTATCCGAAGTCAGGAGCATATATAAACAGAAAAAAAGTAACTGTGCTTCATAAAAAGTTGAATAAATGAAATAATGCACCTTTCAGTACATATTCATGAAAACAGATCCTCGCCTTTAAGGTCGTCACTAGTACCCATGATTGCAATTGTTAATATAGATTAAAGTTTCAGTGCAACTGCATTGTAACCGTTTGGGTCAGCCCTTTGTCTCGCACTTCTCATCCTGTAAAGAAAGTTGCATATGATTGTAAAATGAAAGGAAACAACAAGTTAACCATAGTGGTGCCCAATGCAATCGATTTCAGCATTTATTATACATTTGAGTATGTTTGTATCAGTCCATTGCCTCGCACTCTTTCGCGGGTAATCTTAGCCTCAGGGATGGGAAAACAGCTGGATGTAGCTACCTCGGAATTGATTTGTTTTTTTTCTAGGAGGAAACATCTCAACGGGAGAATTGTTTTGCCAGCATGTGTTCCTCTCTCCTGTGTATTAATCCTGGTTCACCATCACAGTGTCGGGAGTTCTTTCCTTTAGCGAGAACTTCATGTGGAAGTGGAAAGGTAATGTTTGTTTATCATACCATCTCGTATTACACTAAGTTTATTGCGTTGACATTATAACACAATCGTTGGACTGTAATATTTGTTTTTCGTAATATAAAATAGTAGTCAAATGTCATGTGCAAATGTTGAGGCTGAAACGGCAATGCTGTGAATGTGATCATGGATGTATCGTTCATGATTTTCTTTTGTTTGACAGTGGTGTGAAGCTGGACGATGTGTAGCAAACACGGAGGCTCCGACAACTGTTGGTAAGATTGCTGTCACAGATTTACATGGTCAGCTCTACAAGTTTTGGACCATCGAAATTATTCATGCATTCGAATCGTATTAAGTACGGATAAGGAAACGAAACGGAAAAGTAGATGATAGTTTCGCAGAAGATGTTTCCCCGGGGACACGCACAAAGGAATGGGAATAAGTCTGCTGTGCTTCAAAATAGGCTAAAGTTACTCAGCTCTTCTGCTTGGCATTGCCTATAGATTATCACTGTATATGTTGTTATTTCTTTCACGAGTAACCAACACAAATATTGATACGGAAACCGTACACTTGTTCGTATCACGAAATTAAACTACATAAATATTAAGTAATGTGACATATGTTCCCAATTATTAATAGAGAACTAGTCGTATAATCAAATGTAATAAATTTACAATTTTGTTATACTATCACGTTTGTCATGTCGTGTTTTATAGGGACGAAAAAGCCCGTTACCTGAGGTTTGGAATAGTGTTGGTATTAATGCAAATGCACTTATTTTCAAGTATTCCAAATCATTTGGTTATATTTACATGTATGCCTAGATTTTTGAATGTTTGGATATGTAGAATAGCGCTAATTTACATCAGTGTCCCTATCGGTCATTTATCCCGGCAGGTGTGTTTGTGTCGTTACTCGGTATGAACTGCATGACACAATGATATATGTCATCATATGAAACGTCGTGACATTATATGCGTACATATAGTTAACTAATGCAATTTGAAACAATACCGCAGACATTATTTACGTATCAAATTTATGTTGTAGTTAAACATGAAGGAGACTAAAATGTGAATAGTCAGTCAGGCATGGTGAAAGGTTACACAATAGGGAACATGGGGTATTTCACCGGAATTTGTTTCCAAGATAATGAATATGATACATCAGAGATATTGTCATGAGGGCATAAAAGCATTTATACGAACACTCATCCATGTCAGCAACTGCATTTTCCGGTGTTTATGTGAGTTGGTACAGTGGATTTGTATCAAAAGCATGTCATCGCGTCATCATGTATGACAAATATCAGAAGTGAGGTGCCCTAAAAGCAGTGAACTTTGATTAATGAAGATATGAGTTTACAATCTATGTATTGTTTTATGAAATATAGGGCACAAAAACAAATATTGGTATTCGTCAACAATCACTTTTACAATATACTTCAACTGCCATATTGAATCTACATTTAGGACGATTACGCCTGTGGCATTCTAACAATGTCAATAAATAGCCTCATATATAGGCGAGATCTTTAGAGGAATGTTTATTTTATACAACCACTGGTGTTTTATATATAAGTGAAACTGTTGATATATCCTTATAATTATTGACATTTCTCAATCTTTGCTAACAGGTTGTACTCAAGTCGTGGTCAAGTTAGTGTTTCGAAGTAGGCTGGAGAACTAAAATATAATCTGCAGTTCTAAAATGGCAATTAACAGTAGTACAATGTCTCCCTAAAGATAATTTCATTAATGCGTGCAAATACATATTTCGAGGTCACAATCCCTGCAATGTATTATGTAAGGCATGAAAAACTGAACCCCCTTTGCAAGTCAACAGAAGACATAGATCAAATGAGACGTACGGATATGGATATGTACGTAATGGATATGTACGTGTTTGTGTATGATTGCGTGCGTGACTTTATAAGTAAATTGGCGTGTGTGTGTGCGTGTGCGTGTGCGTGCGTGCGTGTTCATAACCCAATCTTAACTTTAAACATTATGTTAGTATATGTCTTATTTCACCTTATCCAGATCATGACGTTATAATGTGACACTATAATAAACATTATTCTCTCTCTCTGTGTGTGTCTCTCTCTCTCTCTCTCTCTCTCTCTCTCTCTCTCTCTCTCTCTCTCTCTGACGGAAAAACATTCCCAATACAATTTCATCACATTTGGAATATGTGTAAATAATACTATCATTTGCGTTACTTTATACCTATGGAAACAGTCGAGGCATGGACTTTTTTATTTCCATTAATTTCAAACCTGTATAAACCTGGTCACATAAAATGCATTCATTCCATTGTTTGCATTCATTCCAGCACCGTTTGGAATACATGGACATAATTTATTTCAGGAGCATACATGTACGACCTAAACATTTGGCATATAAAGACATACACTACATTTCAAAAGTCACTTCCCCTGTATCGCGAAGCTATTTCGCTATACGTTCGCGATAGTGCCGTGAAAGTATCGCGAAAGTGACTCGAAAGTGGCGCGATAATACCGCGAAAGTGGCTAGAAAATGCCGCGAAAGTTGCGCGCTAATGCCGCGAAGTTTCGCGTAAGTGGCGCAAAAGTGCCGTGAAAGTGGCGCGATAGTGGCGCGATAGTGGCGCGATAGTGCCGTGAAAGTGGCGCGATAGTGGCGCGATAGTGCCGTGAAAGTGGCGCGATAGTGCCGAGAAAGTGGCGGCATATTGGCACACTGCATGTACACTTCAGAAATGCTGTCGTGCGTTACTTCCCCATGTATGTCGGATGTATGTTCAATCTAACCTGGAGCTATATAAGCATGTTACTCGTGTTATATTTAAAGAGGTGTAGGTGGTAGGTCCATTAACAGTATAAAGCCTCTACATGGATAAAAAATTATGTTCTTAAAACTGTATTTTTTCCGCAAGGATGCATGACCTATTCTATATTAATCAATAAGAAATTAATGGACAAATGTTTATATTCCCTGATGTGTGTAACTCATTTGTATAAGTTATCAATAGTCTTCGGAATTGGGAGTAGTGTATGAGAACGCAATTCCCAGTGGTGCCTGAATACACTTTTTTTTCTAGATTCACCCCGATTTTGGTCCTCAGTTCATCTGATTCATACACAATAAGGACTTGCGTTCGTCCGTAAATGCCTGAAATGCTGAGTGTTAACAGCGGCCATCACAGTCTCTGTTTAGCATTTAGCATTCAGGATTAAATATATGAAAATACATTTCGCTTTGATGTGCTTATGAAAACGGAATAACTTTCCTCAAAACGAAGTAGAAACCAGGTGATACACGGATGATACATACATGTAACGAAGAGAATTTATGGATGGTAACTTTATTATGAGGAACACAATGTTTCGAAGTAATATTAATTTTACTCTTTCATCAGGTGAAGGAGTAAGTATACACTCCAAAACATTGTGTTCCCCAAATTAAAGATGCCTTCCTTATGTGTTGAACTTGTAAATGATTTTCAAAGACATGATCCATAGACGGTTTTAAAATGATAGGTCAAATACTGTGTTGTTTATCTGTTCCACATAGTGGTAAGTTGTAAGATGAGTTTCTGCTCGTTAATCAGACAAACTACTGCTACACTTGGTTTGTGCAAAAGTTGATGCACGTATACACATGTCGAGTGTCTCAGATACGCGGGGTCTACTTATTTACTTTTTAAAAATTGGACTTTAACGTGCGTATTTCGCGCACGGGCCCGCCAGGCCATTTAGTGTGTGGTCGAAAAGGGTATGTCCGAGAAGGTGGGGCAACCTAGGGGGGCTTTTAGGGTTGTTTACTTAATTTGGATAACAAATTTGGAATTTTGAAATATGCCATGCAAAAGATGGAGGGGGGGGACTAAATGTAGTTTTAGTAGATGTAGTTCTAAGTATGTTTTTGTAGATATAGAATTTTAAGGTTTATTGGCAGCTTGTTTGTTGTACTTTGTTAGATGCGGCCGAGTAGGCCTGTTTTGATTAGATATATGCCTAGTGCTTTAAAGGTTTGTAAGTCATTTAGGGGGTTTAGTACCGTTGCTAGTGTCATTTGATTGTTGCAGTTTAGAGTGGATTGGAGTGTTGTTCTATGTTGCTGGTACTGTGTGCAATATAGTATTATGTGTTCAGGAGTTTCTTTTAAGTTGCAGTGGGGGCATTTCCCGGATTGGTGTTTTTTAAGTTTGGTGTAGGTGGGAGTTTAACTTAGTGTCGCCTGTTTGTAGTTTAGTTATTTCTGATAGTTATTTTGCCACTTTTGTATTACTTTTAATTTAATCTTTTTACATTGGTAGGTTGATGCTTACTTCTTCTAATTTTAGTGCAGATTTGGCTGCTTTGTCTGCGTGTTCGTTGCCAAACACTCCAACGTGGGCAGGGATCCGTACTATTTCTATGTCTTCACCTAGTTTAAGTAGATTGTTGGCGCTTTTAATTATCTGTTGTATTAGTTTTGGGCGGTTTTTGTGTTTTAGTTTTTTTATAGCCTGGAGCCCACTTAATGAATCTGAAACGATTAGGGTTTTTGGTGGCGGGGTCTGCAGATATAGTTGTGATTTGATGAATTCTTTATTCTCTAGACATTCGAGAGCGAACCAGACTGCAACATTATTCACAATGAATATACTCAGAATATCTACTCCAATAAAAAAAGCACCCCACAGTTTATTATGTAACTTATAGCGAGACAACTCGGAGAGTTAATTACATTGTCTACTCACAATGCTAAGCAGGTGCACGAAATAACAGGAAGAGTCATGCGTTATATAACATCATAAACGTGGAGGATGAAATCCACCTTCCAGCAAATTGTAGGAGTAGGGCAGATTCAGCTGTGCAGGCAATTGAATAGTAGCGTTAACCAGTGGCATTTAAGACGTTTTTACATTTAAGAACATATGTAATACTCATGGTCATAAGGACGGAAGCGCAACAAATATGAACGATATCGATAGGTTTGTGCGAGGAACAAGGATTACCATATATTTGTGACACAAGATCTACATGTATATTGTATTTTTCAGTGAGTATTTGTACGTGGACCTATGGCCTTTATACTGAAAAATAAAGAATTGAATTGAAATAAAGAATAAAATTGAGTTGACACAAGATCATATTTCTTCGTCAGCAACATCTCACATATCCTGTGGTATCGTGTTTGCTTAGAATATAGAACAATGACTTCAAACACATTACACTATGCAGTCATTTTGTCGTCTTGTTCTAAACATTCCTTCACTGAAATAGGATTGCTACGCATTA